GCAATATATTTGATTATTTGAAGCTTGTATTCTGACAACCTGATTGTGTTAGGTATGTCAGCATAGTCATGGTCAGAAGTTAGTGGAGTCCGTGGTTCAAGGTCATATTTCTTCATAAAAGATACTGAGCTTAAACTCATATTATGATTAGTCAGACTGAAGCTGTCCAAAACATTCAAAATGCTTGTTGCATCCTGGGGCTCACAGTTCCCTCCTGTGCCTTTTACCCCACTTCTCATAAGCAGTCGTTTATAGGCAGAAGTAAATTGTTGCACAGTTGGATTATTATTGAATCCCCCAGCACCTCTTACAGCACAGAAAAGAGTTCCAAATGATCTTGACTAAATTTGTACATTAAAAGATATTTTAAATATTTTGAAGTGACCAAGTCATTGAACACGCCTTTTGCACTGGATACAGATAACAAAAAGCCAATAAAGCCAGTTTTTCTTCTTGACATCAAGATTGGTCTTCCTGAAGAATCCTTCAACTGTGCAATGTATGCACATGCCTGATTCATGAATGGTTCCCAAATATGCTTATTTGAAGGTCTTAGTGGCTCCTTAAATCGTTTAGCGAAGGGATTTCTGGAATTTAGCACATCAAAAAGCTGGTCAAAAATTCTGATAAATTTTACAGTTGCTTGACTTTCACTAAACTGCTTGAATTTCAGCACCGTATCAGAGTATTCGATCGCATCTGCAACACTGCTGCTCAGGGTTTGAGCAGCAATATCAACTTTCATCTTTTTTTGATACCAGTGTATATGTCTTTGCTTCAACTTGTTTGCAAGCCTAAGACCTTCAGTTGATTGGAGTTTTTGCAACTGCACAAAATATTCCCACAAAATTTTGTTCCCATTGCCATCACGCAAACACCCCACTCTGCAAGGGTGTTTCGGACTAATTTAAGCATGTGACAAACGTCCATGAAAACATAAATCCGCTCAGATGGGTACGAAGGATGAGTAAAATATGATTGCATGCTTACATGCGAGGCAACAACTCCTAAATGAGAGAGCATTGAAAAATGACAAGATGGCCCGTCACAATTAGGATACCACCTTGGCTCCAGTTTCACTCAATCTTTGAATCCCAATCTTTATGATGTTTGCTCTTTCTTCTCCGGTCAATCCATTAATGAGAAAATATCCCAAAGGTACTTTCCAGGACCCATTCACACAAACAGCCATCAAAACAAGAGCTTCCTTGGCAAGTGGGCAGAATCATCCTGATTTTCAGCATTCCCAGGTCAACAAAGCCCCGATACCTTTCTCCATCCCAAGCAACATGTTTCCTAATTGCCATTTCATCAATCATCATAGCACAAATCAATGGGTGCGATGCAGCACTCACCTTCAGCCGGATCGCATCAAATGCAATTTTTGTGAAACCAGGCTCAGCTGGAAGTTTCTGGTACCATTTTCTTATTACGCTTGGATGTGGTAAAGCCAGATTTAAGACTTTCCGCACATATTGATACGCTTTATTTGAATAGAACTGTAAAGTCATAGCAAAAGTTTTTAGCTCCTTGGGATATTTGACGCCTTTTCCAGTTTGTAAATTCATTAAAATTCTATTGAAGATTGATGAAGGTATAGATCGCTGTAGACTTTCTTCACATGAAGCACTCACCAAGTTTTTCTTTCTCAGGGACTTTAGCACCGTTTCAAGAGATTTTACATGTTTTTGCAATCGATATGTTTTTTTTTGACAAAGCCGGAGTCGTTTTCTTACTGCTTTTAAATGTTGTAAGCTGAGATTTAATTTTTTTAACTTTGTAGGTGAAGCAATGACCTGTGAATATGAGTGGTCATGGAGCACATTGTTAAATTTCTCCTGCACTGACCACTTCTGCTTTACACATGAATGAAATTTTCTTTTGTCGGTGACTTTCGCTGTTCGTTGACCTGCAAGAAATTTTGATGATCATGAGCATGTCCCACTTTAGATGCGTTGAACCGAAGCATGTGGCAAAAAACGAGAATTTTGAAAATTTAGAAGGCATTTGTCGTAAAAAAAAATCTCACACATCACATAAACAGATGATTTATATAGTTATTCCGATAAACTAAAAATTAAAATACATAACAGATCAAGTCTATTACCATAAGCTAAAATACTAGGTATCTGCATGCTATAGTGATCTTAATTGCCTGATATTATGAAAAAAACACCCATTAAAATATGTGACAGGATTTTTTGTCGCTTTGGGTACAACATTTAAAGTTATTGAGGATTCAATTTGTTGTTTATCTTATGCATACCTTTCTTAATATTTTGGAAATGCTTTGAATCGGGTCGGAACAGCATTGTCCTTAATTCTTGTGCGTTGCCCGGTTCTCTTAATATCGGCTCTCTTTAAAATGGTCAGAGCATAAACGTGAAGAACTAGTTGGAATCCAATTCGCCCTCCGCAAAGCAGTTACCCACTTCTCGCAAAGTGCCTTATTCAAAGGAAATCTGAGAAAAATATGTTAATTATGTATGAGCAAAAAAGAACTGATAATCATTTCATGCAGTAAGTGCACAATTTATTCGGATTTGAGCTACTTGAATTGAAGCAGGCCAGAACCAAATTTGGATTAAACATAGTCTATCTGTATAGTCAAAAACGCTCTTTTCTAGTCAATAATAGTTTTATGCGCTAAATTGTTGACCACTTTGTATGTTATAAACTTGCTGTCGCCTTCAGCCCAAATGATTAAATGCTTATACAATTTTTCCAACAACTTTGACTAAATTACAACTTTACTACAAACTGACTTCTGACCTTATAGCCTAGTTACAGAAGACGAGCCTCAATACTGTACCGAGACAGCTATACCTGTATGCATTTACTCTAACATATATCTGTATATCATGATAATAAAACTAGCTTTATCTTTTACAATGTTTAGCAGGCTATGAACAAATTGCTAAAACACACACTGGCAGACAACTGAAAACTGATATTGTTAACACAAACTGCTGGGCTATTTTTCTTACTTATGAAATGTCCTTGGATATTTTCGTTTCAGCACACTTTCCTCGTCATCATCTCCCTCGCTATCACTTCGAAAGTCCTTCCTTTTTAAAACGTTTTTGCAACCATATGCGGAGCACTGAGTACCAATACCGCTACTTTTTCCAATCATTTTCTCCGCCTCAGATTTTTTTGGCAATGCCATACCGTACCTTTAGTTAAACTATTCCGTAACTATATCGTACTGTCAGCCTAAAAATATAAAAAAAATACTAACTAGCTAGTGACAAATACTAACCTAGCCACCTATACTTAGGGAAGTTTGAACGTAAATACCCAATTATGAAACTAGCAGCTTTTAAACACGAAAAACAAGCCAAAACCAGCGAACTACCCTACCAGCAGGAAGAAAGTTTGGAAGCATAAGTGCCAAGATGGCGGCGATCAAATTGTCCCGCGCAGCGACAACGCAAAACGAGAGAGAAGATCGTTCCATATATTTCCAGTTCAGTGAATAAAACACGGTCTTCAGTCAGCGCAGTGAACCTTAACGGTAAGACAGTTTGAAAACATTCCCACGAGTTTTATAAACGACTGTGATTGGCTTTGAGTATCTGATACTTCCGGGTTCACGTTCTTGACACACCCATGTTAAGAGAACTGGGCGTTTAGCAAGTTTTCATTGTGAAACATTCGCTGCAGGAGCTGGTGGGGTGGTTGCTCATGTGTCTGTGATCGTACTTTGTAGGCCATTACTTGTATATAAGATAAATAAGAAAACATTGTGCCACGCGAACGAAATACAGAAGTGATTGGACCAAAAGTCTGTAATTCAGATACGAAAGGCAGCAATGCTGGCAAGGGGACCAATAACTGAAAACATTAAAAGTTATATTATTTTGAACAGCCAGAGAATGGCTTGAGCAAGAAGCATAAATAGGTAAAATCAAAAAACTGTCGAATGCTACAATAAAAAAAATTCTTCTTTGGAAAATCATTCTATTTTTGTCCTAGGATTCCAATTGTGACGTTTTCAAATATACTTCTTTTTAGTTCATTGCGCAGTTGATTTGTGGCTATACCGGTAGAAGGCCCAGACTCTCTTAAAGGAAGGGTTTACACTCACTGGTATAGTTGACGTCTTTTTGATGTGGGGTGGGGGCTATTTTTAAAATCTGAGGATTGCGCCCTGCTGTATTGGAAAAAAGTTGATAAGCCCTGCAGTCTGCATTTATGCGTTCATATTCGTGATAGATTCGTATAAATCGTAAAAGCATCCCAGCAAAGAACGAATCCCTTTCACACTTTCATGACCATTATAAAGTTGTATGTCTAATATTATTTCAAGAGAGCTAATTGATATTCTAACTCTATTCCGCAGGTTTGAATCCTGTGGGGTAAAATAATATGCAATATATACGATGATTATGAGACGATTGCTGGATCCCCCATCGCTCTGGGATGGTTTATGTAATTGCTATTCGGTTATGGCTTCCTTTACCATTTTTGTTTTGTTCGTTTTTTTTTTCAAATTTTGTTTCATGAATTTTAACCACTTCAAATAGTCATATTTTACTGTGAACTTATCAGCGTAAACTTGGAGGGAGCTGACTCCGATCACCGCATGGTTGTATCGCTCCTTCCAGTCTATACCGAAAAAAGTGTATTTTTTGTTACCATTATTTATTGTTATGACTGTTTTTTTTTCTGGTTGGCGAAAATAAAAAATCTCTCTCTCTCTCTCTCCATCAAGTCCATGTATCTGAAACATAATAACTGGCTAACTACGGTAATTACTAATCTCATAACCGAATGAAAGACCGTGATTCAGTGATTTGCCATATGATTGAGCTGTCTTATCGACTCCTCTCCCTCGGGATAAAGAGGTAAATATTATGTCACTGTGTTCAAAATCCTCCCAAGTTAATTTATTTTTATTTGCTTTGGTAGGAATTCTGTAGCATCTGGATTTATCACTTCAAATGGTCATATGAATAAAAATTTAACATCTAAGAGTTATTCGCTTTCATTCTTATTTTTTTAATTTCAAGTTAGCATTAAATTTGTCATGAATGTACTCGTATATGAAAATGATGGTCATGGCTTCCACTATTCAAAGCACTCCAACGAAAGGATATGTTGATTTTTGCTTTCACTGAAATGGAAGACGATGGACGCAGGAGCAGCAAAAAGGTTTAATACACACTTTATTTTTTTCTATTATGATTTATGATACAGTGTGGTAAAATTGGGGTGTAAAATAATTTCAAAACTTAGCCGAACTATGATAAATATGTCAGTTTAATTGTGTTGTTTCTAAGGCTGTAAAGTGTTAAAAAATTTATACCTGACCTGAGCGCCAAGCCAAGCGAATTGAAAACAGCTGTTGAGTTGACAAAAGTTTTGCCTCCGATTCTAAGTAAACCCACTCTTGATAACATTAACATCGAGGACTTGATACTTTGATTTCTTCCTGGAAACTTCAATTGTTATTACCAATAGAAGTAATAACTACTGACTCGACCTCACAACTGAAAATTCAAATTTCTACTCTCGAGTTGTGTGAGTTATAAAATAAATACATGCTCTGAGACTTGAATTCCTTGTTTTCATTTCATGATGCAGATTCCAATTTTGCGAGGGTAGGCTACTGTACTGCACTATACCTAAGATGTAGGGTTGTAACTCAAGTTTGGGTACTTAGATTTATTAATATTTGCTCTGTCTAAAAAACATTTATTTTTCATTTTTAGTCGAGTTTGTTCAAGTGGGTAACAGGTCGTAGTAGTCGTCCCTCACCTCCTGGCCCTGGACGTCGTCGTTCAGGACATTCAAGTTCAAGAGAATTATATCCTCCCACGGAAAGGCGACCTCTGCGATCTGTGCCCCTCGTGGGTCCACATTATCGAGTCGAACCAGAGATATTAGTTACCGAATTCGTGGAAAAAGAAGTTAAAGTACGAAATACTTTTATTTCACATTTTTTATTTTTTTTACTATGGTGTTTTATATTCTTCTTGGTACATACGATAACGTTCTGTGTGATAGATCTATGGTCAGGACATGTAAAAGTCATGATCATATTATTCATAGTGTATCTATTAATGCTTTAAATCAGTGGTGTGCAACCTTTAAATACAGGAGGACGTGATACAAATAACTGGGTGAAACCACGGGCGGCACCTTTATTTGACATAACCTTCTAGTGGTTGCATGCACAAAAAAAGCCTTGTAACGTCATAGATAATAAATTGGACTTAGGTATAGGCTTTGCAACACAAAGGGATAAGAATTACCCATCAGATTAAGCTGAATTAAATACTTATTTCGCTGGCTGCAGATCATTAAAAATTTGCATTTACCCACGGCCTCACAATTCTTTCTTGTGGGCGCATTTGGCCTTCAGGTTGCAAACCCCTGCTTTCTATCGAAGTCTTAAAATAAAAATGGCAACTATCTTTGTTACTTAGACATGATGTTTTAATTAATAATGATTAGTTTGAATTTTCTTTTGGCATCTCTAGTAACCTCGAAACGGGGATATCAACAATGTAAGCATTTTTAGATGACCAACCCATATTGAATTCATGACTACTCTCAATAATAATTGGCAATATGTCATTTATTTCAAGTAGAATATTTAATAAGAAATATATTCCACATTCAGCCTTTACATATCATCGATACAGTACCATTATATCATATCGTTATGCATTATTAATGCATTCAATTTTATACAGTTTTGTCATAAATTGTTTTTACCGTACATAAATCATATTTAATTTAATGGTATATTATATATGTTTTATCTATAACTTATGCTTGGTTGAGTTTAAATATACTTCATATTATATTCCAGTACTTAGGAACCATCTCAGACCTGGATTGTAATTTTGATGCCACGGATCGAGCTTCATTACTAAAGATTGTTGATGAACAGCAGGTAATTGATAATTTCCTATATACGGTGTTATTTTCCGCGGAAAGGTAAATTTTTGAGAATTGGAAATTTCTTGTTATAAATATTTATTGATGAAAATTTTTTGTTATTACACCATACTTGAAGGCACTAGCCAATATGTTTTTTTCAAATTAATGCATATCTTGGTGATTATTGACAGTCAAAAATTTGATAGTACCTAACTAATTACAAAATAATTTTATTCGGGGGGGGGGGGGGTGAATATATTATAGATCAATAAATCCTGATGTTCCTCATTTGTTACAGTTCTTAAAGTTGCTATAATTATCAAATTTCTGCTATATTTTCTTATTAACTTTTTCAGGCTCTGGATTTGATGCCGTGTATTCCATCATATGAAAATGATATTATCGTCAGTTTTTCAGTCCATAATATCAAGCTTCTACGGAGGGATGGTAAATTGATTTTCACTGTTTATAAGTTTTAGATTTTGTAATATTCTAATATAATCATTAATAGTGTTCATGAGTATAGATTATATCAAATTTTCCACTATATACCAACAAAAGTAATTATTTAAACTGATTTTGTATAAAGCCCATGTTTCAAATTAAAACACATGTTGCCTCAATTTTTTGAATATTTTCAATATTTATGTGACACTAACACTTGAAGGTGGCCTTGATTTATAAGTTTCACGTTTTATTTATATTTTATTTATTTATTTCCACGTTTCCACTCCAACTAAGGCTCTGTTTGAGCAGACGTCGTGTGTGTGAAAAAAGCTACCACGACTATGAGGACCCTTAGCTAATTTATGACGCACACTGATGGGGTTCATAACCCAATATCTTTAGCATGCGCACAACGCATTAGCCAGAAACAGAAAAAATTTCGAAAATTTTTTTGTTTCAATTTCTACATTTTCTTAACAGTATTTTCTATCTTCAGGAGAGAAAATGATTCACAGGATACAAACTCACAAGATAGCAGCTGTCGGTTACGTGAGAGACGACAACCAACATTTAGTGTTTATTAAATTGGTCAGTTGGGAATACTTAATCATATTGCGTTTGTTCTTTGTACAACATTACAAAATGTCTGTAACATTACAAGATTTGGTCTCACGTTATTTTAAAATTATCTGTGAGATTGTTGAGTTTTTTTGAAAATTTGAACGACTACTGCTGTGAGATTGTTGAATTTTTTTGAAAATTTGAACGATTACTGATTATCTATTTGATAAGCTCAAACTTTTGATTAAATTGATTTGAAATTGGGTATAATACTAGTTTGTGTGTGCTCTAAGCTAGGTTTTACCAGTGTTTTGTAAAAGGCCTCATGCCCAGAGTCACTGGTCATTTGAATCTCGAGTCGAGCATATCACTCAATTTTGCTGGTGGTTAGTTGAATACGAGTCCGAGTCATCTCATTTATATGACTCAATTCACTTTTGAGTCTTTGATAAATTGTGTCTCGAGACGAATAAATAACTCAAATCTTTCATGGACGAGTTATACCAATCTATTTTGATTGGCATGGCTACCAATCCTTTTTTAACTTGCTTATATAAAAACTCTGAAACTTTGGAAAACTCTGAAACTTATCTTCAGATACATTCTATCCCTTCTTTTCTTATTGTTATCATTGTCTGTTTCAACAGTCATAAACAAATCATAGTTTTCAATTCATACAAAAGAAGCCAGATGACGTTGATACCGCACGATTCCTTTGTTTTATGAAAATTTTGATTCCTATTGTTAATATATATTTATATCTGTAATGTTAGGTCTCGGCAGTTCCTTCATTGTTTACGAGACTAATGCCATTCAAATTTATAAAGTATTTACTTGTTATCTCCTAAATCATTTTTAATCGAGAATTTTTTTGAATCAATATCAATTTCATGGTTACCTCTGGTTCATTATTGAAACAATCTTGATCTAATATAATTTTTTCTTTATTTAGCGTCGGAATTGAATCCCAAAATGTGCAATTTATCAATTCTCTGCTGTGATACTAAGGTAAGAATTTTAAATAAAATTTATTGATTTGACATTCAAAATCAGTTCGAATTAGTATTAGAACAGGAAACAGACCTTTTTTAGTCCTATCATTCATGTCCAAACTAATTATAGAAATAAGTCATAAAGTTTTTGAAATATTGACTCTATTTTGAACGTGATTAAGTGAGTTTTCTGTCTAAAATCACGGTCCCTCAACAAGGGAGAAATTTTTTTTGCTGTGATTTTATTAATATTCTTTGTTTCTTTATTATTATTATAATATTTTTTTTTTCACGCTTTATAATTTACTTGAAATGAGTGCAACTTGCACATAACACTAGTTTTAGTTTTTAACGAAAAGGTGGAGGCGAAAGTTTTTAAGACGCACTAAAATGAAAATTGTGGTTTTCAATGGTAAATAAGGATATGGTTGGAATATTTAAAAAAAATTATTATCTATGTCTTATTCTCGATTAATATCATATCTGACTTGTTCTTGCAAAACATATTTTTCACACACACTCGTAATATTTCACAACATTTAGGTAATCGTATTATAAGGCTTTTAGCATTACATACAAATTAAAATCGAGGGATTATTTTGAATATATAGTCAAGTGTATTAATAATCACTTATTATTTTAAATCATTCACAAAATTAGATAGGTGTATAAGCATGGCCATGCATGATTTATAGGTTATTTGAATTGGCCCTACTTGAAACAGTGTTAAATTTCACATCAATCTTAGTTGTCATTATACACTTTGTCGGTCAGTAGACCATATCTTAATCGCCGCGGAGACGCCAATACAGAACACCCGTTTATACGCTTTAGTGTGCTTTGTTAGCTATCCCACGTTGGATGGGTGACGTCACATAAACCACGGCCTATATATACTCTCTCATTCATTTTTGGATTCATTTATTGCCGTACTCTCTCGAGAGAGAGAGTGGATGTACGAATCGTAAGATAGCGTACTGTGTAAACAGTATTATACTAATATTATACACTATGTATTTATATTCATATCATGTTCGGTCCGGGTCTGAAATTAAATTTCACCGAGTACGGCCCAAAGATAACAGCACGATCCATCTTTAGCCCGTTCTCATATTCGTGTTAAAAATTGAAAAATTTGATTTCAAGTAATGACTATTGTTGTGAACAACTTGAGACACAAATATTAATATCATGTTAAACTGTGTCAAGTATTTATTCAATTTTGTCCTACTTATATGCCATACTGCTTTGTTCCATAATTAAAATTACCACTCATATTAGTGTAAAATTGCATAACATTGGGACTCTTTGACCATGTTGGCATTGCAGGAATAGGCTGATGTGACCATAATAGTTCTGAAGACCAATCTAAAATTGAATAATTCGCTATTCTGAAATGTTCTGAAATATCAATAAATACTTTCAAATCAAGTCAAATCTGGGTATTCTAATTAGAAGCGTATTTAGAATGAACAAGTTGACAGATCACTGAATTGCGAAAGTAGTTTGATATTTTCTAATTTTATCAGGCTATGATCAAATAGATTCTAAAATCAGAATTTTTTATGATAAATACATTGCGTTCGATTCATTTTTCAAGCGCCATGATGTCAGTATTTTTTAATATATCACAACATAAATCTCTAATTAATCTCCTCGTTGATGGAATCCCATAATTTATGATGCATGAAATATTCAAAAGGTAGAATACTTTCAAGGTACAGGTAAAATTTATCATGGCCAAGTAAGGCACATTACACTAATAAAATGTAATGAAGATGTGCTTTATTAATGCAAAAAGCTTGCTATATGTAGTCTGTAGACCCAATTATTTGTGGTTATAATGTCGGATCATAATGTCCAATTTTTTGAACGAACTCCACTGACCTGATAATTTCGCTACTATTTTTATACCAGCAGTCACTCCGTACATGACATGATACTCGTCTGACTTGAAACTCAGGTCACATGACTAGCGTAATATTTCTTGCGACAACATTGATAGAAATGTAACATGACAATTAGCCTTTATAATTAGAATTCTTTATTATATGTTGTGTAGTCGTCTATAACGTAAAAACTAAAAATGTAGTTCTATGAACGTATGAAAAATCTGTAAATCAAAAGACTGTTATTGAATTTAGATTTATTTCTTGAAAAATGTATATTTTGTCATTTTTAAATTTTTAGGGTTATGTCATTCGTATATGCCCTATGTATATATTTATTTTTTTACGCTTGGCACATTAATTTGTTACTTTTCTATAAATAGCTATAGAGAAAAATTAATAAAATTTCTCTTATTTGTTTTATTCGTGGTTCTGTAATCAAAATATATTACAAGACGTCTTTGTAAACAAAGAAAGTACTTGCTTATTATTACATCATAATAACGATGGCTTCTTATTGGTCAGTTATTTGTATTTGTGAATAACTCAACATGTTGACTTGAATTAATAATAGTTTTTAATTTTTATTAGAAAAAACATTAATTATCCCATGATTCATTTGGTTGTGACGGCACGCCTTAAATTTTCAATGAAATATATTGCGAAATTGGGTAATTTGAATAAGTTGGTAGTGAATGAGGATTTGGTCCAATATTGAAATTTTGAAAATAAAACTGAGAGAATGTGCCTGCTGAATATTTGAAATTTAGTTCCTTAAAATTAGTTTATATGTGTGTTGCGAGTTTGCGTCTCAAAATACTTTCGTCTCGCCTTCAGTTTGATTTAATGTTACATTTATTTATCATATAATCATCCTCTTGTATTATTGAATACTTCTTTAGAGCCATGTTTAACAAAAATTCTCAATTTACATTTCAGACAGCGGCAGAAGAAGTGTGCTCTCTGGCACAGCAAGTGTTTCAGTTAGTTTACACTGATTCAACAATAGATTTTCTCGACAAGTCCATAATGGATGGTGCTATAACTCCCAAAAATCATTCTTACAGCACTGGTGAGTTAGATTCGTGTTTGAAGATCAGCGATAATTTCACGATATTAAACCAAATTTTGTTGATAAAAAATATATTTTTAAATGTCAAAATCTTTATTCCTCAACCAAAATAAATTTTGGGTCAAATTTTGGTATGTATTAATAAAAAATTCATCTTAAGGGTCAAGAAATAAAATGGTCACGTAACGCAATATTTCCCGAGTTATCAATGTTCTTTTCGAGTACTTCCACTCTTGTTACATTCTGCTGTATTCAAATATTGTTTCGCAATTAAACGTTAACAGATCTCTATTTTTAATTTGTCATCGACACCATAGACAAATATTGAAACAAGTGACACTCTTATTAGAGATCACAAATTTTAAATCTATGTAAGGCATATCACGGAACAGTGATTAAACATCATACTATCTTTGATTCACCAATTCTTAGGATGTTTTGTTGTTTACTCTCTAAACAAGGCTCTTGTTGTCACGAAGTAATATTACTTTGCGATGCTTAGTGTGTGCTTTTTCCTATACCACGGCCAGGGGCGGACACTTTCCATAATTTTGGGGGGGGCGAACTTGGATCGCCTACCGAAAAACACCGCGCCGTGTATCGTCACGTAACAATAACCTGTCGATGTCATTCTCTAAGTATTAGCATGTCATTTTGCTACTCATATATCGATTACCTAGGCTGCTTTGCTCGGACACGGAACTTGCGCGTCACTGAACCAATTTCTTGAATTCCGCGAGAATTAGCCCACGGCTCTTGCTAACAAACAGAAAATAACAAATTTAAGGAGTCGTATTAGGTTATTGTTTCAATTCCTAGTTCTGCATAAAGCGCACTAACGCCGTTTCGTAAAATTAGAAATGCAAAACAAGGTAACAAGCTATTGTGCGAATTTTTTTCCTAAATTTTACCAAGGAATTATCATTTGACTAGTAGAATTGCCATTATTGCCGATTTATTAAATCATCATTTGAACTCGAAATAACATTCAGGATTCACGCAATGACTTTGCAGGGTATTTATTTAAAATTTAATACGAAAATAAACAGGCACAAGTTCAGGCGCGCAGCCAGGATTTAAAAGAAAAGGCGGGGGGATCAAAGTCGGAACTTCCCATTGCCGTCTGCAACAAGCACCGCGATTACGCGCTCGTTAAAAGAGCCGCCTATTTAAGCGTATAATGATTTTTCTGTCAATTCATGACAGCCACGAGATTCTAAAATGTCCTTATATATTAATTTATTTGTGTGCAACGTAACTCGCGGTTGCGACTTCTTACGTCAAAATAAAAATATTACTAAACTAAAGTACCACGGCGATATGTGTACATAAAAATATGAGATAAGCTGCCTGATGTATTTAATTTTGATACGTATTTTTGCAATCTTCCGAACTCGTTATCGCCGTTACAAAAATCTCGATATCTGATATAAAATCCCATATAGTACAATTTTAATTCATACAATGAAAATAATTATAAAGTATACTAGTAAATCAAAAATACAAATTCACCGCCTCGAAATCCACCCGGAACAGTCGCCGCGATTACGCCACTTGTTAAAAGAGCCGACTTTATCAAAGAAAAATGATTTTTCACTTGTGCAAAGTAATCAATCGAAGACCGATACGGGCATATTCAAAATGTCTCGATTTATTAATTTAATTGTCTTCAATTTAAACTGCGGTTGAGTCGACAAAACAAGAGCCACTCTAAAACACGACGGCAATCCGCGGACATAAAAATGTGTGGTAAACTGCCCGTTTATATATTGTTTTGATTCGTATTTTTGCTATTTTGCGCATTCGATAAATTTGAGATGTACTTGTCACACTGGCTCCGCTCAATCGCAATGTTGTCACTCCGATTATTTTCAAAGATAAAACCTTTCGAAAAATCCGTAAATTTTCTGTCAATTCTCACGTAGTAAAAGTTATTTCAGTACAATAAAAATACATAAATAAATACAAAAAGTGATCGAATATACTTTAATTATTCTATATATCATCACAAACCGGGGAAAAGTCGCGTTCTCAGCTTTGTTTAATGTTACCACGAAAATTTTCGACGTCAATTTAAAAGTAATGGATACAAAGGCAAATCCCGCTCACAATTGACCGTGTTTCGATTTTAGTGACGAAATGTTTTTAAAGGTCAAGCAAACATAACTTGTGCAGGTCAAGCAAACATAACACACGAAATTTTGCGATTTTCGATGCCTAGAAAAGCGTTTTTAGACTGTCGCGGGCCTCAACAAAACTTATATTGTTTACAGTTTTATTTTTAGTATTTTATATTTCCGCTTTTCAACTTTTCGACATAGTAAATGCTTTGATCTTTGATCGCAAATTATGCTGGGCCTTGCACGAAATCCATAACGTGAAAAGATACGTCCAGCGGTGAAAATTGTTTATAACAACTTTAGATTTAGTTAATTTTTTAGCGATAATAATTAATTGTTGTAATGAAACACAGTTTGCCACTTTCACTTCTCTCGCAAGTGCCAACAATAACACTATTGAAAGATTTTGACAATGGGAAAATCATGTTAAATTGTACAAAAATGAATTAGTTGTGCAAAACCGTGGCGCGTGATCGGCGGTGCGTTTGAAGACGGAGTATTACCCGTGCGGGCGCGCATGTTTCACAAAATTGTGAGGTGCTCCGAAGGCGACCTGGTCCAAATTATTGTAAGAAAACATTTATAATATCGGTAACTATTAACCGTTTAATTGCGCTTGACTATCGCACTTTTCGGAAATGATAATTTTGTAAGGCGGAAACAACATGTATTAAATTTTTTTGCGAAATTATTGGGGGGGCGACCGCCCCCCCTCGCCCCCCCGGGTGTCCGCCCCTGACCACGGCCTATTATATACTCTCTCACTCACTCACTGTAACATGTGTACCAGGTTAGGGTTAGGCCATGATTTTATTTCGATTTTCCTTATTTTAGTTCTATGACGAGTTCGGGGACTGTCTGTATTAGCCAAGTGAATATACCCCTGCCCATAGGTTTCAGTCCCTTCACACAACTTGATGTAAAATAGTTGAACAAAATTAGTTACCTCCATATTGGTACACATATTTCTGGAGCGTCCCTAAATTTATATAAGTAATAATTTAGTCATCGTGTTGGCACATATTTTAAAATTACCATCGCCTTATCTTCCTCGTTCTTTTTACAGATGATTCAGATAAAAAAGACACTGTTACTGTAAGCTCCAGGGACTATGCTCAATAGTAAGTTGAATCATGGAAAAATTTTCCATAAATAGTCTTCTATTCAAATGTTCAGCATATTGTCATGACAGCTTATTATCTCTTTCATCTTTCAGCTCCTTAAATAAGAGTGCAGACTCACTCATACTATCAACTACCTCGAAAAGTACTAATGGTTACACAGGAACTCAACCCACAGCCTTCAAACGGATGAGTGCAGGACAAATGTAAGTTTGCATTAGCAGTATGCAATACATTTTATCATTTGCAAGAGTGAAGAATGAGTCCTCTGATCGAGGCAGGTTTTTTCAAACAAGCAATGTTTCAATCACTTTTGAACAATGTTTAATAAAGCAAAATTTTGTTTTTCCGATGGATAAATTCTGAATAGATATTGGCCTGTTGTTCAATCCTCAGTCCATGTCAGATATGGTAGTAATATTTACCGGTAACTGTTAAATTTTTCTGTAAGGATGGACTTCGGTACTGTAGAGAGTCGTAACCGACCAGACTTTTCATGGACTGTCTTATCTACCACATAATTATTAAACATATTAATATAAATTAACTATCAATTATCAGTAAATCTGGTAAGCATGATTTTTGATTTCCAAAAATTAAAATATCCTCTTTATATTTGATTTTTTACACATATAAAGTGTAGCCAATCGGATTGGTTTTAACCCTTTCCATGGGATTTTTATTTTTTATTAAATAATCGTATTTGCTTCGCCGATTTTATGCATTTGTACCCCCCACAACTAATCGATCGACTAACGAAAAACTAATGATCCTCTGCTGCCCACTGACGGCTCGTTGGAAAGCTTATTTAAAGAGCTTGCAATTGGCGATTAAAAAAAAAGTTTTTCAAAAGTGGTGGTCTGAGTCACAAACCGGATAGAAAAGAGGCATTTTTTTTCTTGGGAGTTAAAACTTCAAACCGTGATAAAAAATAGAAATATTTGCTAAATCCTTCACTGTTACCGCTTCGTGGTTGGCAAACAATAGCATAATATTGCTGTAGCAATTTCGTGATCTAACTCAAAAAACTTTGGTAGATGGGAGGGATAATATGTCTTCTATTACCACCCAAAAAACACCGAAATTTGCACAAATTTCAAAAACACTCCCTCGTTCCGCCGCAAATAAAATTCCTGTCGTAAACGAAAGCGAGATTTACCGTCGCTTATGTTAATCTTGAAGAAGACTTCTTATCAATAAACTAAAACCCGGAAAAACTAGACCAACAGTTTGCGACCGATTGCTAAATAAAACAGTGGAGTACATCAACGTACCCGCCGCAATCTAGCGACTTTTGTCGTTGGTACGTATACGTGCCCCCCGCACGGAAAGGGTTAATAAACAACTATCTATAATATCCAACTCTTTTTTCACAGCATTGAAGGCAAAGGATCCAGTTCCACCCTGCCTCAACCGATTCGCCATTCTCGATATCATCGTAGGTCTGGTAGCAGTGGATCATCGAGCAACAACAATATACCACCTATCACACATGCTAGCACTCTCACACTCACTAGCCCTGTCACTTCAACACAGACTTTTCCTGTACACAACGCCCTGCAACTTCATGATTATATTACGGTGGTAAGTGTGAGCCGTTGTTCCTGTTACTTTATTAATGTTGGAAAATAAACCTGAATAAGAGGGTAGTGCTGAATATATATGGGTATGGAGCGGGGGTGGGCATGGGTTTGAACCAGGGGACAAAAATTTTGCCAACCCAGACTGTAAGTGTTGGGTAAAAAGTTTTATGAACAATATTCACAGTGTCACAAAAGTGAAAAGACTAATCCTCGTGCAAAAAATAAATTTAATCGCAATCTCAACAAATTCCTTGAGCTATTTTTCAGCTGAAACAATAAATTTTGGTTTTAGTTTGGTTGTGGCAGCAAAAGGCGGGCCAATTATGAATTACCCAGCAGGCTATAGTTCGCCCATGTCATATATAGGGATAGTTTCGGTGTTATAGCTATAAGCGTTAGGGATGCCCCCCGTTGAATATTCTATTAATACGGAGACTTCTCAATATTATGTACTTACAAAAATAAACACAGGTCATACAAAAATTTATGCATTTTTAATGAGATTGCTTGTATGCTTGACAAATAAGATGATTTGCCTCATTTTTGATTTTTTTTTAAATTAAGGTATCTTTTAAACTTGTTTTTGAAAAAAACTGTTTTATTTCTGAAATCATGGGTTTATTATATCGATTAGAACTAATGAGTTGCGATAAATGTAGTCTCAGAACGATTCATATGTAGCCTATACTTCATGTCGAGTTGCAAATTTTTTTTCAGATTTTCTGATTTCTTAAGTGATTCAAGAGTCTCGCTGCACGCTAACACGAATATATTCATATTAATATATAGTTATCTTCACTATTGCTACAGCATCCTTGCATTATATGTAACCAAATCATTCTTTAATTTCGTTGTGGAATGACAGTTTTATGAAAACTTCAGATTCTTGCAATATAATTCTTTATTGATTTTTGTTGTAAATAACCTTCTCAAAATCTGTTATTCTATTCAGCTAAAAGAGCAACTGACAAATATTGAACTCAAGGAATTCGCCAAGTTATTAAATCAATTTCGTACTGGCGGAATTTTAATTCAAGATTTTTCTAATCAACTTTTACAAATGTACACAGAGGAAAGAAAACATCTTCTTTTAGGTAAGTAAATATGTCAATATCTCTTAGTCCTATCTGCTGGAATTCATCGCTAGACGTCGATATGTTTTTTGTATTTGCATTGAGCATAAGTATTGTAGTCCAAAAGTTTGCTGAGATATGAGTTTTTTTTACTTTTGAGTGAGTACATGTGCTGGCGCTGTAAAATAGACAATCGATGATCATCTCAACAATTCTGGATTGTTAAATATAATTTTTATGAATTACCAATGATTTATTGGAATTTAAATATTGAATATTATTTCAGAATGTGTTTGGAATAGAAAATTATTTAATTTTGGTCAACATCACAGTTTTGTCACAAATTACAAGTTCATTTATAACAGATTTCTTAAGGTGGAAATCCCAATGGTTCTGTATAACTTACACTTAACAAGGTGGTGAGTATGGGTGAATCATTATTAATCTGAAATTTTGACAAAAATAAACGCTCTCGACCATCGGGCTATCATGATCATGAAAAAATACATATTCTCATCCCTATGGTCTATGGATATGAAATTATTAATTTCAATATTCCAAGTTTAGTTATCATTTCTTTTTTTCAGGTATGAGACATTTTATTCCGAATGCTAGTGATTTGACATTTTTTAACAAATTTTTGAAAGACAATAACGTTGAGGATATTTCCGCTGATTCTGCAACAGAAAGGTAACTGGAGTTTTCACCATTGAGTTTTATTGTTTAAAATTGAAAATGTGTGTAAATGAAATTATTATTTCAACAGCTGGTGGGCACAGGCACCCCGCGTTACTCCTCGAACATTATCAGAAACGGAGGAAAGTACTGCTTCAACGTCTGTGACTACAGGAAATGTAACAGGTGTTTATATTTATTTCACTTTGAAATTGGTCATGTCTTCTACATTGTTAGCACAAGGGCTGAGAATAGAGGAAAGTGTACTTTTGACTGAAACTTTGAGCTTTTGGAAACTAGCGCCAACTAAGAGCTAAATCCGGATTGACAAGATTTTTGACTCTCATCCTGACTTGATGTTGAGGCCATTTTATTAGTTTCTTTCCCCCAGGAATAAATTTTGATATCTTTCCGTATTCTATTCAATATTCCAGACTTTGGTAGTTTTTGCTTTTACCTAATTTCATATGACTCATTATTTTTATATTCAGCTGTTTCTGTTTCATCCAGTGGATCAGAACGAGCATCAACATCCATAGTTTCTAACGACGATAGTGGTGAATGGAAAGATGTTCTAGGTAATATTGAGAAATTTGGAATATATCCAAGTACAGATTCATCTGGCGGTGGAGAATTGAATGCAAGTTTCAAGACAGGTGTGTTTTAGATTTATCAAAATTTTTTCATGTATTTGTAATTTTTTTTTTTTTGTAACAAAATTTGTTCTCGCCGAGTTTTGTGCACTCGCTCAGAAGGCTGATTTCTGAGTGAAGTTATGGACATTTGATTGACATGGAACATTTCCTTGATACAGCATCTGTGCGTTATACATATGATCAGTTAATAGTTGCATCAAATCAAATTTTCAAACTTTGTAAATAGAAGTTATGAGGAATAACACCAACAAACACATTAATCATTATTATTGAATTAACATTTCTTAATTTTCAAAATTGAATTTTCACAATTTAACATTTGTATGTTTTCAGTTAATGGGACGCCGGCGACTTCTGGGACTGGCATTTTAGAACTTGACCCGCCTTCTTGTGCGGAAGAAACTATCATCAAATCATATGTAGCTCCGGTAGCTGCACCTGTGCCAGAGGAATTCCAGGATGCTAAGGGTACTTTATAACTTCTTTGATATTATATGTTGTTTCCATTTAAAAAAATGTTTTTTCAATGTAGTGAAAGTAGAAACATTTGGCTGGTTGTCTGCTTGTTTTATAAATTTTCATGTGTACCTGAGGTTCATTCTGTGTTTGTTATTTCTACTTTTAATACATTTGATATTCTTTAATAGTAAATGATTATTAAAAATGAGCGGCTCTTAGGTGGTTGCTTTGTGGCGCGCCATTTAGTTATTAGGAAGATCTATGGTAAAAGTTGCGTAATATAGATTTCATTGATGTTTAAGACAAAATAATATGTTAAATAAAAGAGATTTTAATTAATATTCATGTTATTTTTCTATATTTTTAGAAGAAAACGTTGCATCAGCTGATACGAAGTCACTAAAATTATCACCTAAAAAAATGCAACATGTAAGTTTTCGAATATTTTTTCCTTTTTATTTTATTCATCAAATTATTGAAGTTTGATTTCATATTTTTCAATTGCAGACTACTTCTCAATCATTAGGAACAGAATTTTCACGTACTCCCCAAAAAGTTGATCGTAAATCGACAGAAACACGAAAGTCATTATCGGACACATCAACTTTACAAACAATGCCTTTAACTAATACAAACTTAAGGACTTTTACCAAATCGAAAGAGAAAAATTCACCTGTCGCAGGGCAGGGTGGCAACGAACCTGGTGCTACTGTCCCAATTTCTCCTAAAAAGGCTCAACCAAGCAAGCCACAAAAAGAGCACAGAAAAAAGAAAAAACACAAAAAAGATGAGGTAGTGGCGATGTTATAAAGACTTCAGGCAGTCATGTTTCACATAGGAATGCGTTACCTAATTAGGGTGGGTATGGGACATTTTCTTTCATTTTCAATTCCAGTAAAAGAACTGATTAAGCACACTTTGACAATAGACAGCAATCATTTTTGGATATCTGCGTCCGAATAGTTAGTTCAATATTATGGAATTTATATTTTCACTGTATATTAGGTTGTAGACCAATTTTTACTTTACAAAAATTATGATATCACTTGAAATTTTCAAGTTTCACAAAATCATTGATCAAAAATTTGAATGATAGATGAATTTCTAATTTCTGATGGAACAATAATCTTTAGACATTTCAGTAGCTATAACATATATTTATCTTAGCTCAGAACCCAAATTGTTACTGTTTAGTTCTTTGGGCACAATTACCAATATTTTAAAATGCAATTATCAAAGGTCGCATATTTCTGCTGAAAGTCATTTAACATCGAAACTGTCTCGCGACGAATATATATTATTTTCAATTTTTTTTTCTGATTTTTTATCAAATTTAATCACTTCACAATGTTACTAAGATTTACTTCAATAGTGTACTGATTTGCTTTTTTTTTCATTTATATGAAATGAAATGTTTTTAGTGTATGAAATTGAATAGTATGGAATTGAAACTTTGGTTTAATTATTTTTGCGAAGCCAGCTCATTAAGCACTAATTGACCATTACCATATACAACATGCAAAAACTAGATACATATCATAAAATGTAACGGGAGTTGAATATTTCACCCAATTAACTTGACCACAGAATTGGCATCATCCTTTCAAATAATTCAGTGCCATACGTGTGTGGCAGTCTATTTTGCCATTTATTCACACAAATTAATATGGTTGTTTAGATATCGGATTATTTTCACTGAAACTAGAAAAAATAGTTTTGATAGCCATTGTGCCAGTATGGATATGACTACATCATCTCCTCTTGTCCTAAATTTTTGCACCAATATTGTGTGTGGTATATTATAAGCCATCAATTTAATTTCAATGTATACAGTGAATTCAAACGTAAAACTACCTGGTTAAAAATCTATCTGCACCATTGGGAGTCTTTTTTTCACAAAATAGGGTTCTAAAATGCATGCATTATCAAATAAATAGGTACTCCCGAAGTATGTGAACCAAGATGGCGGACACCGAAACGTAGTATGTGTACCAGGTTAGGCCATAATTTCAGGTACAAATACTACGGGAGTCACTTGGCTAGTCACCGAACTCGTAATAGAATTAAAATAGGGAGAACTGGAATAAAATTATGGCCTAACCCTAACCTGGTATATATACTTCAGGAGCATCAATAAATAACATAACAATATAGGAGTGGCACCAAAGCAGATCACTGGGTCCTTAATTCTTAGTCAATATTTTTATTTTAATAAAATCATGTCTTTTGCGTTGGTTGCATAATATGATTCATATCAAGTAGATATGGCAGTTAATTTCTTCTTTTTAATTCGCCTTCTAATATTTATTGCTTTTATATCTTTGAACTTGATATTTTTAACAGCCAATTTATGTATGTTTTCTACATGAAATGGAGGGTAGGTTATGGTATTTTGAAAGGAAGAGGCAATCAAGTGAAGTTTAAAATAAGCCCCAACTGGCGAGGAGCAGAATGAGCAAAGTTGCAGTGGATAACGAAGCTTTGTAGTTTCTGTGGGCAGTCTGAAAAAAGAATTCTCCAACCAAAATTAATCTGAATCTATGTTACTAAAGCAGGGGCGGGCAATTATTTTTTTGAATGGGCCAGTTACAGATCCTTGGTTACTGGGCTGAAGCCTCAAAACCGAATATGAAACTTAATTTTTGTGGGCTTTAACTCTATGGGATTAGTTTTTTCACTTCAATGTTTTGTGTGGTGATGTCAATGAAATTAATTATGGTTCTGTCCTGTGCTGTAGACTAATTTGCCCACCCGTGTATTGGCGACCAACGCAAAAATTGATCCAGTCTTATGGAGCCCCACCCTCGCTAAGAAATATTTCAATCGAGACTACAAACCCCTTCCTATAAGTCACCATCAAGAATTTTAACATGGCACAACAGTCAGCACTATGATGAATGTTTATTCAATGTAAAAACAAAATAGAGTATGCACAGTGAAATAAGGTAGTGTGAAGAAAGTACAGGCATGACATTTGACCCACAAGCCAGTTTTAATAAAGAAGGCTCTAAATCAGGGGTCAGCAACCCTTTGTCGCTCGCGGGCCAAAATTTAGGGTTGCAAGTCATTGATGGGCGGCACATGTTTTTTAGAAAGGTAAAAACCAAACTGATGGCCGACAAATCGCATTTTTTCACACAGATCAGATCTCAAAAAATTCCATTCGAATATTTTCTGCGCCATTGAACCCTTTGCACTTTTCTGCATCAACTTTTCTGCGTTTGTTGCCGTTTGTCTAATTAAATTATAGGCTCATTAAACGGAAAATTGTGATTTGTGAATTATATACCGGTACTTGATTGGTTATAACATAATTTGGTCTACATGTGTCTCACAATGAATTCTGTTTTGTAAAGAATATAATCGTCAAAAATGCTATTTTGTTACTATAATTCAATGAAGCGTCGCGAGCCGTAGGTTGCCGACCCCTGCTCTAAATCTATTACGGTCGGTCGAAAAAGCTTAGGACAGCTTAATCAAATGGTGAGTTCTCATCTATGCCTGGGAACATTGCAGCTTTTCGTGATGAAAAACAATTCTTCCTCTCGTTTTCATGTTACTGATTGGACGGTTTTTCCTGGAAAAGTAGCACCAATTGCTGTATCAAGAATGTGACTGAAACTTCTACAAACTTCCTGCGCTAGCTCCTAAAACAGTAAAACAAAAAACGTAGAGTTCATAAAGAAAAAAATCTCAATCTATAAATTATTGTCAAATTTGGCAGAACATGCGTTCAATGGCTGCCTATTTTGTGGTAAGAGAAGTACCAGAGGCATTGTGACAAAACTAGGGGATTCTGGAACATATTTTGTGACATCACGAAGCGATAGAGTTGCGGAGCAATAAAGAAAAGCCGCCCGTCCGTTTGTACTGTTTATTGGTAATATTTAGCCCTACCGGGATGCCTAATAGAAATAAAGGCGTTGAGTATCATCGATGTGAGCAGTCATTCACGGCCCTCAGCGGCAATATGCAGCATCAGAAGTCACATTAAATGTATATTGAGACACGGTGAAGGAAAGAAAATGCTGTATGGCTCGCACAGAAATGCAATTGAAAATATGTACCTGCATGGCTCTCTTGGCCAAAAAGGTTCCTGACCTCTGCTCTAGCGCTAATACTACTAGTTGTAGTTTTAATATTGTAATAAGTACAATTGTACTTTAGAATAGCAATGATGATTACCTTGCTTTCGCATTGATAAGCATGAATATTGAACATCGCTTCCTTGTTGCTGTTTTCAAAATCTCTGGCACATTTTACAGCTAACATTGTATTACCAATAAGTCCATCATCGAAGATAACAATTCTTTCTATCTTGTGAAGAGGAATACGATATAGAACAGTCTGCGTAAATGAGATAACAATGATCATAAGTAATACTAAATAAAAATTTCTAATATTAATTTGGAAGTTAAAAGCTAAATTTGCATAGTTCAAAATTCGAAAACTTTAATAATTATATCATATTTTTGAGTCCTGCTCACGCAAAACCATGCCTGTAACTAATTACCAAAGTTTATCAATCTTAGATGGTAGTACCATATCCGTGTTTTGGGGAAAATTAGTATTCCGAAATATAACACAATAAATCATTGCCACCAAGCTGGTTCGAGCGAAAAAAACATAGCTTGTGAAATTATGATTTCACTCCAACACAGCTAAAAACAGCCACCATAGCTTACGAGGACCAGTACCTTTCCAAATCGCATTGCTCACCCACAGCTACATTTATTATACCCTGGGTAAGTTGATAGACACAAGATTCGAGACTTTAACCACATCAAAGCCACAATTTAATCCTATTACCAGTACCAACGCATTTGATAAATGACAGTACTCTGCACTATTAGATTTGTGTATAGCATCCTCGACTGAGAATGATAAATTGAATTTAAAAATAAAATTCATATCAATTACAACACATTAGTTTAATACTTACGCTGTTGCTGGCTTTTTCAGTTTTATCCCATGTACTGTGAGAGATATAACTGCTTCTTCATTTGTCGCCACAAATGGTAGCTCATTTTCTTGCTAAAAAATAATGGAATGAGAGGTGATATCTATTCTGGTTCCCCATTTTGGAGACCTATATCACATGATTATTGTTTCGCTACTACAAAACTTAGCTTCCGAAGTGTTTAAATACCCCTGGATGTTATGAATTATAGAAACATTAATTTCCAAAAAGTGGTATTGGATGATGAACATTCGTATTATTTGAAATGTATCTAGGTTATTGTCATATAGAAATTTGCCTTTGTAAATAGACATTAGTTATTAACCAGTTCGGATGATTACTTTAAAAATCATAAAGAATACAATCAGATGATCTTGCATACCTGAGCAATATCAATCAGATTTATAACATCCAGTGGCAGAAATAGGACAAAGTTTTTGAAATATTGACTCGTTTTTAAACGTGATTAAGTGGGTTTTCTGTCTAAGATCACAGTCCCCAACAAAGGAGAATTTTTTTTGCATTTGCTATGGTTTTATTAATATTCTTTGTTTCTTTATTATTATCATTATTATTATAATATTTTTTTATTCACGCATTTTAAACTATTTGAAATGAGTGCAACTTGCACATGACACTAGTTTTAGGTTGGAGATGGAGGGAAAGTTTTTAGGACGCACTAAAATTAAAATTGTGGTTTTTAATGGTAAATAAGGATATGATTGGAATATTTAAAAAAAAATATTATCTATGTCTTATTCTCGATTAATATCATATCTGACTTGTTCTCGCAAAACTATTTTTCACACCCACTCGTAATATTTCACAACATTTAGGTAATCGTATTATAAGGCTTTTAGCATTAAATACAAATTAAAATCGAGGGATTATTTAAATTGGCCCTACTTGAAACGATGTTAAATTTCACATCAATCTTAGTTGTCATTATGCACTTTGTCAGTTAGTAGACCATATCTTAATCGCCGGGAGACGCCAATACAGAACACCCGTTTATACGCTTTAGTGTGCTTTGTTAGCTATCCCACGTTGGATGGGTGACGTCACATAAACCACGGCCTATATATACTCTTTCATTCATTTTTGGATTCATTTATTGCCGTACTTTCTCTCGAGAGGAAGTGGATGTATGAATCGTAAGATAGCGTACTGTGTAAACAGTGTTATACTAACGTTAAAATACAAACATGAAAAAATTGAGGTCCTTGGTGTGACATTTCGAAATGGAAATACAACTATTGAAAACTGGGATAAATGTCTTGGAAAGTTGAAAGAAAAAACCCAAGATCTATGGAAATTTAAACTTACCTTTGAAAAATTTGTTGGTAAAAGCTAAAATGTTGCCCATGGTCTTACATCTGGCAAGAATATTCCCAATACCTCATGTAATAGCAAATAGAATTAATACTGAAGTCATGAAATTTGTTTTTGATGGTAAACCAAAGTTGTTATCAATTGAAGCTGTGAGTAAATTTAAAATGCCATGTGGATATGAAGTACCGTATATACCTGTATTTTTGATGTGTCTGTATATAATGAGTGTGCATGAATATTATACATGGAGATCAGGCGAAACAGAAAATAGGTCTGGAAATATGGAATGGTTGGAATATAATATTGGTCAACAGTTTAGTGTAATCATCGGCATACAGGCAAAAAATAATATTACCCATGGTGTGAAACCAAGTTATTTTTACAATGCTCTATTAGAATTTATAAGAATGCACAATATAACTGTGAAAGAAATTGCAGAAGGAGATCATAGAACCATATATAAAAGAATTGTCAATAATATGAATTCAGAATTGGTTAATTTTTTGTATTCTGTTGATGTAAACAATTGTTGCAAAAATATTCATAGAGGTATCTTGGCAAATTATGTAAAAATGTTCAATTTCAAGATTATGTGGAAAATTCTACCTTTGACAACTAAACCCAAAATAAAGTTTATTGCGGGTAATGATATTTGTGTTCTATGTAATAAAGAACCTGAATATAATGAGCATTTGTTTTGGAAATGTTCATTCATACAGGACATATATATTATATTTTAATATTATTATATTTATGTTATTATCATTAACTTTGTAATTGTCAATTTTTGAAAACGTTTGGAACATGCATAATGTTGGATCTGGGTGGACAGGAGTATCAAAATGCTACTTCTTCTCAAATAGATGCTTTGATATTGCTCCTGTCTACTGTTAGATTTAAAGTATGGATGGAACAAAATGATGTTATATTTCAAGGAGTTACTCCAGATGTAACAAGGGTGAAAGAAAAAATTGAAAGGGGTTAAAACACAGACTTAATTTAGAAAGGCATAGGAATGATAACAAATATGTTAATATATTAAATATATTATGCCAATGTTTTTGATAGATGTAAGATAAAATTGTTTTAAATTAATTTATTACCAATAGTGTGAATTATTCATTTGCTAATTGTCATTTTTGTTTTTTATGTTACTATTGTTAATAACCTAAATATTTGATTATATTAATGATATGAATTTGAAAAAATTGGATAACTGAAAAATTGAACTAATGCTGAATGGAACATACAATAATAATGATGGGGATCATATTGGATGATGACGTGTAATGTGATGAACCTTATTGTATTCTTATATCAACACATATTAAAAAAAAAAATAAGATTATGATTATGGAAATAATGGGATTATGGAATAAATGGACGATGATTAATTCTTCTTTTGATGTACAACAATGTATAACATATTTATAATGTACTGTTGATAATTCTTTTGGATATTATTTTATTTATGTTATCTTGCACTTTGTTTTCAGCATTTAGAAAGAAAAAAAAAAACATTATACACTATTTATTTATATTCATATCGTGTTCGGTTTGAGTCTTAAATTGAATTTCACCAAGTACGGCCCAAAGATGGGCCGTGCCTTATTAACAGCTCGATCCATCTCTGGCCCGTTCTCATATTTGTGTTAAAAATTGAAAAATTTGATTTCAAGTAATGACTATATTGTTGTGAACCAACTTGAGACACAAATATGAATATCATGTTAAACTGTGTCAAGTATTTATTCAATTTTGTCCTACTTATATACCATACTGATTTGTTCCATAATCTGAAGTTACCACTCATATTTAAGGTAAAATAGCATAACATTGGGGCTCTTTGACCATGTTGGCATTGCAGGAATAGGCTGATGTGACCATAATAATTCTGAAGACCAATCTAAAATTGAATAATTCGCTATTCTCGAATATTCTGAAATATCAATAAATACTTTCAAGTTAGATCAAATTTGGATATTCCAAATAGAAGCGTGTGTAGGATGAACATATCATTGAATTGCGAACATAGTTCAATATTTTCTAATTTTATGAGACAGTGATCCAAATATGTTCTAAAAATCAGAATTTTTTATGATAAATACATTACGTTCGATTTATTTTTCAAGCCCCATGATGTCAGTATTATATATCAGTTTTTTAATATATCACAACATAAATCTCTAATTATTCTCCTCATTAATGGAATCCCATAATTTATGATGAATGAAATATTCGAAAGGTAGAATACTTTCAAGGTACAGGTAAAATTTATCATGGCCAAGTAAGGCACATCACACTAATAAAATGTAATGAAGGTGTGCTTTATTAATGCAAAAAGCTTGCTATATGTAGTCTGTAGACCCAATTATTTGTGGTTATAATGTCAGATCATAATGTCCCATTTTTTTAACTAACTCCACTGACCTGATAATTCGCTACTATTTTTATACCAACAGTAACTCCGTACATGACATGATACCCCTCTGACTTGAAACTCGAGTCACATGACAAGCGTTATATTTCTTGCGACAAAATTGATAGAAATGTAGCATGACAATTGGACTTTATAATAAGATTTCTTTATTATATGTTGTGTAGTCGTCTATAACGTAATACTATAAATGTAGTTCTATGGACATATGAAAAATCTGTAAATCAAAAGACTGTTATTGAATTGAGATTCATTTCTTGAAGAAGGTATATTTTGTCATTTTTAACTTTTTTTAGGGTTATATCATTCGTATATGCCCTATGTAGGCCTATATATTTATTTTGTGACCTGAATTAATAATAGTTCTAATTTTTATGAGAAAAAACATTCATTATCCCATGATTCATTGGGTTGTGACGACAAGCCTTAAATTTTCAATGAAATTTATTGCGAAATTGGGTAATTTGAATAAGTTGGTAGTGAATGAGGATTTGGTCCAATGGGGAAATTTTGAAAATAAAACTGAGAGAATGTGCCTGCTGAATATTTGAAATTTAGTTCCTTAAAATTAGTTTATATGTGTTTTGCGAGTTTGCATCGCGAAATACTTTCGTCTCGCCTTCAGTTTGATTTAATGTTACATTTGTTTATCATATAATCATCCTCTTGTATTATTGAATACTTCTTTAGAGCCATGTTTAACAAAAATTCTCAATTTACGTTTCAGACTGCTGCAGAAGAAGTGTGCTCTCTGGCACAGCAAGTGTTTCAGTTAGTTTACACTGATTCAACAATAGATTTTCTCGACAAGTCCATAATGGATGGTGCTATAACTCCCAAAAATCATTCTTACAGCACTGGTGAGTTAGATTCGTGTTTGAAGATTAGTGATAATTTCACGATATCAAACCAAATTTCGTTGATAAAAATATATTTTTAAATGTCAAAATCTTTATTCCCCAACCAAAATAAATTTTGGGTCAAATTTTGGTATGTATTAATAAAAAACTCATCTTAAGGTTCAAAAAATAAAATGGTCACGTAGCACAATATTTCCAGAGTTATCAATGTTCTTTTCGAGTACTTCCACTCTTGTTACATTCTGCTGTATTCTGCTGTATATTGTTTCGCAATTAAACGTTAACATATCTCTATTTTTAATTTGTCATCGACAAATATTGAAACAAGTGACACTCTTATTAGAGAACACAAATTCCAAATCTATGTAAGGCATATCACGGAACGATGATTAAACATCATACTATCTTTGATTCACCAATTCTTAGGATATTTTGTTGTTTACTAACTAAACAAGGCTCTTGTTGTCACGAAGTAATATTACTTTGCGATGCTTGGTGTATGCATTTTCCTATACCACGGCCTATTATATACTCTCTCACTCACTCACTGTAACATCTGTACCAGGTTAGGGTAAGGCCATGAATTTATTTCGATTTTTCTTATTTTAGTTCTATTACGAGTTCGGGGACTGTCTGTATTAGCCAAGTGAATATACTCCTGCCCATAGGTTTGAGTATCTTTACATAACTTGATGTAAAATAGTTGAAAAAAATTAGTTACCTCCATATTGGTACACGTATTTCTGGAGCGTCCCCAAATTTATAGGCACATATTGTAAAATTACCATCGCTTTATCTTCCTCGTTCTTTTTACAGATGATTCAGATAAAAAAGACACTGTTACTGTAAGCTCCAGGGACTATGCTCAATAGTGAGTTGAATCATAGAAAAATTTTTCATAAATAAATAGTCTAAATACTCATTCTATCAACTACCTCGAAAAGTACTAATGGTTACACAAGATCTCAACCCACAGCCTTCAAACGAATGAGTGCAGGACAAATGTAGGTTAGCATCAATAGCGTGCAATACATTTTATCATTTGCAAGAGTGAAGGATGATGGGTTCTCTGATCAAGCAGGTTTTTTCAAACAAGCAATGTTTTATTCACTTTTGAACAATGTTGAATAAAGCAAAATTTTGTTTTTCCGACGGATAAATTCTAAATAGATATAGGCCTGTTGTTCAATCCTCAGTCCATGTCAGATATGGTAGTAATATTTGACTGTTAAATTTTTCTGTAAGGATAGACTTCGGTCGTAAGTCGTAACCGACCAGAAGTTTCATGGACTGTCCTATCTACGACATAATTATTCAACATATTAATATAAATTAACTACCAATTATCAGTAAATCTGATAAGCATGATTTTTGAATCCCAAAATAAAATATCCTTTTTATATTTAATTTTTTACACATATAAAATGTAGCCAATCGGATTGGTTTTAATAAACAACTATCTATAATATCCAACTCTTTTTTTACAGCATTGAAGGCAAAGGATCCAGTTCCACCCTGCCTCAACCGATTCGCCATTCTCGATATCATCGTAGGTCTGGTAGCAGTGGATCATCGAGCAACAACAATATACCACCTATCACACATGCTAGCACTCTCACACTCACTAGCCCTGTCACTTCAACACAGACTTTTCCTGTACACAACGCCCTGCAACCTTATGATTATATTACGGTGGTAAGTGTGAGCCGTTGTTCCTGTCACTTTATAAATGTTGAAATATATTGTGTATTCTCACTTATGAGTCGACTTTAAAACTAAAAAAAAAAAACGAGTTTAAAACTCAAAAAAAAAGTTGCCAAACTCAGGGGTCAGCTGATATGCACATAACTCTGATGATCGCACTGAAAATTCGGCTTATTCGCGCATAATTCTTTCTGGGGAGTTTGGCAGTGATAGTGAGGATGAATTTAAAGGATTTTGAGACACTTCTTACCGTTAACCGTTATTGATAAAAGTAAAACATAACAATAACGTGTATCATTTCCATTAATTATCTTCGACAACCATTTGCTGTGATAGATGCGTACCGCTAGTTACAATTTGTTAGGTCGGCTTATATGCGGTTCTTTGTAAATTCGACGTTTTGAAGCCGTTATCAAGGGTTCGGCTTATATGCGAAGATATACGGTAAATAAATGGACAATGCTTGAATATATATAGATATAGAGTTGTCATAATGTCGCTATAAGCTTTAGGGATGACCCCACTTGAATATTCTATTCAATATTGTTCCTGAATATTGAAAATATTTTATATTTGGTTAGGTTATGTACATGCATAAATAAACACAGGTCATACATAAATGAGTGCATTTTTAATGAGATTAGATTGACAATTCCTGAACAATAAGACGATTTATTGTTTGCCTTATTTTTTGCTCTTTTCAAAAATATGGGTGTTTTTTAAACTTACAACAGACTACGATTGCTCAAAATGCTTATTTTTTGGTTAAAATTTGTTGTAGATAGTATCCTAAAAATCTGTTATTCTATTCAGCTAAAAGAGCAACTGACAAATATTGAACTCGAGGAATTTGCCAAGTTAATAAATCAATTTCGTACTGGCGGAATTTTAATTCAAGATTTTTCTAATCAACTTTTACAAATGTACACAGAGGAAAGAAAACATCTTCTTTTAGGTGAGTAAATAAAGAATAATATTTTACCAATTACAAATTCATTTATTTCTATAGGTTGAAATCCCACTGTATAATAGCTTACACTTATTGACTGGGCCATCATGACCATGAAAAAATACATATTCCTCACTGTATGGATATACAACTAATAATTTTCGAAGTTTTTTTATTGTTATTTCTTTTTTTTCAGGTATGAGACATTTTATTCCGAATGCTAGTGATTTGACATTTTTTAACAAATTTTTGAAAGACAATAACGTTGAAGACATTTCCGCTGATTCTGCAACAGAAAGGTAACTGGCGTTTTTACCATAACATTTTTTTCTTACTATCAAATTGAAAATGATTATATATGAAATTATCTTCTTGACAGCTGGTGGGCACAGGCACCCTGCGTTACTCCTCGAACATTAGCAGAAACGGAGGAGAGTACTGCTTCAACGTGGGGGCTACAGGAAATGTAACAGGTACATGTATATTTATTTCACTTTTGAATTGGCTATGTCTTCTACATTGTCAGCACAAGGGCTGAGAATGAAGGAAAGTTTACTTTTGATTTGTAACTTTAAGCTTTTGGAAACTAGCGCCAACTAAGAGCTAAATCCGGATTGACAAGATTTTTGACTTGCATCTTGACTTGATGTTGAAGCCATTTCATCAGTTTCTTTCCCACGGGAATAAATTTTGATATCTTTCCGTTGGTTTGAACATTTGACTGATTTATCTTGGTACTACATACTTTTGGTGTGTTTACGTATGGTTCACTACATCGCGATTATTGGCTGATTACTTGATTACTTCTTGTTCCCTAAGGGGGCCACAGAGAAGTTGGAGGGGGGCCACAAGGATGGGCTGAAATCTGATTTTACTTTTCACTTTAAAAGAAATCTCACAGTTTTTCCTAGTTTGCTGCTCAACAAGGTTATTTCACAGGGTGTTTTCGCTCTGTTTTGTGCAAATTGTTTTAACATAATGAGAATTATGTTAATACCTCTGGAATATTAAGTGGGGGCCATGAGTGCTAAAAGCCTCCGAAAGGGGGGCCACGAGTCATAAAAGGTTGAGAACCACTGGTCTAGGGCTTTAGTCTGTCTTTAGATCTGTTCTCAAAAGCTTGTTAATGGTGCTATAGTCATTGGGTATGAATAATTTATTTCTTAAGTTTCCTACATTGGGATAATCTGTTCTGACAAAGTCTCATTTAAATGTAAGTGATTTGGTATATTCTTGCTTTGTATTGTGCCTGGTTGCCTGTACTCATTTTAATATTCATCTTTATTGTTTGTCAGGTCACTTTGTCTTACTGATATCTGGATTAAATCACTATTGGGAAAAATCTATTCGTTTCATTTCGGGATATTAGTTAAAGAGACATAGTAGGCAAGGGTGATTTGTCAATGGGCATAAATCCAAACTAATGACATTTAATGATACTACACCTACACCTACAAACTGGAGTCTGAATCAAGCAGTTCTTCTTCAACCTTTCGAGGATTCAGCAATACATCAAAGCAAGAATGCCAACTAACAATGACAGAATATTTTCAGAATTTCAAACAACTCAAGAGTAAGTTTCCGGTACTCAAAGTAAATTTGAAAAGAATTTTAATACGATTTGAGCACTCTCTGGAAAGAAGAGATTTTGAAAAGGTCAAAATACTGTTTCATGATGCTAATGATAAAATAGCATTTTTGGTCTGTCTAATTGATACTATGGAATTGGCTCTAATTGAAGAAGACAGTACTATACAAAATGAGGAAAAACCCGTTATCTCCAAATTTAGCGAAGAAATTTTAAGTGTTTTAATCTATTACAAACTAGATATAAAGCCGGTGATGTCATCTCTTGTAACCAGTCAAAACAATTATAATAATAATCCACTTATGATTAAGTTATGTGGTATGGATCCGCCATGCTGGAACGGACAAAAAGTAGATTTTTATACCTGAAAAGAACGTTTTACACATATAATGCACCATGCTAGAATTACGGATGATTTGGTGCAAATTTCATGGCTTTTACGCAATGGTGCGATGCCAATCGATTATCAAACAATGATATGTGACTGTAAATCAATTTCAAGTGCATGGGAACGCCTAGAAGAGCGTATTCCTAAATCAGTAGTTCAACGTGAAGTAATCAAGCAATACGAGCAAATAAAACCTTTATATAAGACCTCTCGTAATCCAGCGAACCTCACGAAATTTCTCTCTTCTGTCGACGTATGGAAGATCTTGGGTTAAAACAGGATGCAAACTTGAGTATTTCTGTCAATAGAGCATTAGAGTGTCTAGAATCTAGATGCAGACACTGCACTGCGATATATTAGTTCCAGCAAAGGTAATCATAACTTGGAATCTATTACGAATTTTCTGAGATCTGAAGCTACAGCGTTGGAAATATTTGGTAATTTTATCAATCAAACCGAGAATATGAGGTTTCGACCGAGACAAAACCAGTCGCCAAGATCTAATTTCAATACAATCATGCTACAGACGAGAATGATAACATGGGTTCAGTTCAGCCACGTCAAAGAACAGTCACTTGTATTTTTGGATGTGGAATTCAGCACTGCCTTATAGACTGCAACAAATATCAAAACCTATCAATTCCTGAAAGAAAAAACTTTATAGCAGATGATCGAAGATGTTTTATATGTCTAGGAACTCACTTTGCAAGAAATTGTGCAAGAGCAACAGCCGATAGCTGTGTTACTGTGTAAATTGTAACCAAAGACAGCATCATTGGTCATTGTGTCCCGGAAAAGTACAGGGAAATTACAATACAATGAGAAATTCTGGTGATGCATTCAAGACCATTGAGCGATTTTAATTTAGATTATTCTCCATTACTTGTTGCATTACTTGTTGCAGAAGTGCAGACGAGTGACAAAACATGGATCAAGGCGAATTTCTTTCTTGATGGTGGCAGTAACCATTCTTTGGTAAGGCGTAACTTTGTAAAATCATTGAAACAAAAGGCAATAGGTCATGGAACAATTCGGTTTGGTGTCGCAGGAGGAGCCAGCCATTCATGAAGAACCTTCTGAAGATTATAATTTAAAAATTAGACCTTTTTCATGAGACCAGATATTTGATATCAGAGTTACGGCTGTGAGAAAACCTTGTCACGATGTTACACCAATTCCGCCATCTATTTTTAAACAGTTTGATTATCTAAGAAGAATTCAGGATAAAATACCAGTTGGGCAAAAAACAGTCGATGTTCTTGTTGGTAGAGATTATGCACCTTTAATTCAAACAACGCATTCGTTACGTTCGCCAATTGATCCCGATAATCATCCTTCAACAGCTTTCACATCTCTTGGATGGTATCTAGATGGAGGCATTATTCAAGCACCGCAACGATTTTTCAATCGTGTAGCAAATATTAATAGTTTTTCATCATTAGAAAATGAAGAGTTGCGCAAGTTTTTCCATGGTGAATATCTTGGAGTGCAACCCACAACTTTGTGTGTTTGTTCTAACTCAGAAATTGCAGAATCAGCATTTTTCAAACATGTAAAAGCGACAACCAATATTAGTGATGATGGCCGAGTTTGTGTCAAAATGCCTTGGAAACCTGGTTTCCCAGAAAAATTGCACAACAATTTTGAGAAGACGTATGAACAAATGAAAAAACGGGAACAAGAATTGTGCAGAAAAGGAAAAACGGAAGAGTATAATATGGACATTAAAAATCTGCTTCAGCGAGGCGTAGTACGACGACTAACACCGGTTGAAACGAAAACGGCTAAAGTTGAAAATGCATGGTACCTCAATCATCATATCGTAGAACGTCCAGATAAAACCTCAACAAAATTAAGAATAGTATTTGATTTTGCTTGTCCTTTTAAGGGCATATGTCAAGGCCCCAGCTTTGCGAATTCTTTGTTCATATGTTTCATGGCATGGCGAGCTGATAGTGTGGCTATTACTGGTGATATATCAAAAATGTTTAATCAAATTCAAATGGCAGAAGTCGATCAGAAATTTCATCGTTTCCTTTGGCGCTATGGTGATTCATCGTTGCAACCAACAATCTTATAATGGCTTCGGGTTATGTTCGGAGATAAATCTAGTCCTGACTTAGGAACAATTTAGGAACGTTTTACAATCAAATTTTTAGCTGATAAATTTCAAAAAGATCATCGTCTTGGAGCTGTTGTATTGGACAAAGATACATACATTGATGATGTCAGTCTTTCTGTTTCGAACCACATTCTTGCAAACAAGGTTATCGATGATGTTGATCAAATACTTATTCTTGGAAAATTGTCTAGAAAGATTTGGAACTAAAACCATCCTGAAGTAGATCAAAATTCTGGTGAAAAAGTTGTTGATGTACTTGGACATTCCTGGAATAAAACTAATGACAGTTTCAGTTCAAAATTCAAAGACATTTCTTTCCTGTGAACAAGATTTTCTAAAAGAAAAGCATTAGCATGTGTAATGAAATTGTGGGATCCTCTGGGTTATTTACTCCCAGTCACAATGCAGTATAGAATAGATCTTCAAAAGATCTGGGCAGATGGATTTAGCTGGGACCAAACTTTGCCAGATGATGTGGTCAAATGCTGGTATAATGATGTTCAGGAAATGTCCAAGTTAGCTCAAGTTTCAACTCCAAGATGTTTGAAACCTGAAAACACAACTGGACCTCCTCAACTGCACGCATTTTCAGACGGTGGAGATTTAGCCTATGGCACTTGTGTGTTCTTACGGTGGCCCACAACAGGTGGAGTTAAGCTAACTTTCGTTGCAGCAAAGGGATTTGTGGCACCACTCAAACACAAAAGTACTCCAAGAAAGGAGCTGATGGGAGCAATAGGCATGAGCAGATTGGTGCATGAAATAAGTAGAGCACTACCGTACAACATTGCATTCAAATATTTCTGGATAGACAGAACTCCCAATCTGGAAAATTCAAACCATTTGTTGCTTCAAGAGTACAAGAATTTCAAGATACACATAAGAATCTAACAAAATAAGTCAAATTCATTCCAAGTCTTCTTAATGCTGCAGATTGTTTAACAAAACCTATTTCCTGTGAGAAGCTTACAATTTGGCATGTAGGACCTGAATTTCTAAGGCAACCAATGGAATATTGGCCGAATGTTTCACATAGGAATGCGTTACCTAATTAGGGTGGGTATGGGACATTTTCTTTCATTTTCAATTCCAGTAAAAGAACTGATTAAGCACACTTTGACAATAGACAGCAATCATTTTTGGATATCTGCGTCCGAATAGTTCAATATTATGGAATTTATATTTTCACTGTATATTAGGTTGTAGTCCAATTTTTACTTTACAAAAATTATGATATCACTTGAAATTTTAAGTTTCACAAAATCATTGATTAAAAATTTGAATGAGTGATGAATTTCTAATTTCTGATTGAACAATAATCTTTAGACATTTCAGTAGCTATAACATATATTTATCTTAGCTCAGAACCCAAATTGTTACTGTTTAGTTCTTTGGGCACAATTACCAATATTTTAAAATGCAATTATCAAAGGTCGCATATTCCTGCTGAAAGTCATTTAACATCGAAACTGTCTTGCGACGAATATATTATTTTCAATTTTTTTTTCTGATTTTTCATCAAATTTAATCACTTCACAATGTTACTAAAATTTACTTCAATATTGTACTGATTTGCTTTTTTTTTCATTTATTTGAAATGAAATGTTTTTAGTGTATGGAATTGAAACTTTGGTTTAATTATTTTTGCGAAGCCAGCTCATTAAGCACTAATTGACCATTACCATATACAACATGCAAAAACTAGATACATATCATAAAATGTAACGGGAGTTGAATATTTCACTTAATTAACTTGACCACAGAATTGGCATCATCCTTTCAAATAATTCAGTGCCATACGTGTGTGGCAGTCTATTTTGCCATTTATTCATACAAATTAATATGGTTGTTTAGATATCGGATTATTTTCACTGAACTAGAAAAAATAGTTTTGATAGCCATTGTGCCAACATGGATATGACTACATCATCTCCTCTTGTCCTAAATTTTTGCACCAATATTGTGTGTGGTATATTATAAGCCATCAATTTAATTTCAATGTATACAGTGAATTCCAACGTAAAACTACCTGGTTAAAAATCTATCTGCACCATTGGGAGTCTTTTTTTCACAAAATAGGGTTCTAAAATGCATGCATTATCAAATAAATAGGTACACCCGAAGTATGTGAACCAAGATGGCAGACACCAAAACGTAGTATGCGTACCAGGTTAAGCCATAATTTCAGGTACGAATACTACGGGAGTCACTTGGCTAGTCCCCGAACTCGTAATAGAATTAAAATAGGAAAAATTGGAATACTTCGGGAGTACCAATAAATAACAGAACAATATAGGAGTGGCACCAAAGGAGATCACTAGGTCCTAAATTCTTTTAGGAATTTTTACAAATTTTTATTTTAATAAAATCATGTCTTTTGCGTTGGTTGCATAATATGATTCATATCAAGTAGATATGGCAGTTAATTTCTTCTTTTTAATTCGCCTTCTAATATTTATTGCTTTTATATCTTTGAACTTGATATTTTTAACAGCCAATTTATGTATGTTTTCTACATGAAATAGGGGGTAGGTTATGGTATTTTTTGAAAGGAAGAGGCAATCCAGTGAAGTTTCAAATAATCCCTAACTGGCGAGGAGCAGAATGAGCAAAGTTGCAGTGGATAACAAAGCTTTGTAGTTTCTGTTGGCAGTCTGAAAAAAGAATTCTCCAACCAAAATTAATCTGGATCTATGTCTCTAAAGCAGGGGCGGGTACCTCAAAACCGAATATGAAACTTATTTTCTGTGGGCTCTTTGATTCGTTTTGTGTGGTGATGTCGATAAAATTAATTGTAGTGGTTACGCAACCGTATGTGAGCAGATCTTGTGCGGTAGACTAATTCGCCGACCAACGCAAAAGTTGATTCAGTCTTACGGAGCCCCACCCTCAAAGAAATTTTCCAATCAAGACTACAAACCCCTTCAATGCGTATTTCCTCAAAACCCAATTCCAGAAAAATTCCTTCCTATAAGTCACCATCAAGAATGTACAACAGTCAGTACTGTGATATAATGATGAATGTTTATTCAATGTGAAAACAAAATAGAGAATGCACAGTGAAATAAGGTAATGTGAAGAAAGTACAGGACAGGCATGACATTTTACCCACAAGCCAGTTTCAATAAGGAAGGGTCAGCAACCTTTTGTCGCTGGAGGGCCAAAATTTAGTGTTGCAAGTCATTGATGGGCCGCACATATTTTTAGAAAGGTAAAAACCGAACGGATGGTCGACAAATCACATTTTTTCACACAGATCAGATCTCAAAAAATTCCATTTGAATATTTTCTGCGCCATTGAGCCTTGCACTTAGCACCAACTTTTCTGCAGTTGTCTAATTAAATTATAGGCTCATTAAGCCAGTAATTGTGAATTATATACTTGATTGGTTGTAATATAATTTGATCTACATGTGTCTCGCAATGAATTCTGTTTTGTAAGGAATATATTCGTCAAAACAGCTATTTTGTTACTATAATTCAATGAAGCGTCGCGAGTCGTATGTTGCCGACCCCTGCTCTAAATCTATTACGGTCGGTTGAAGAAGCTTAGGACAGCTTAATCAAATGGTGAGTTCTCATCTATGCCTGGGAACATTGCAGCGTTTCGTGATGAAAAACAATTCTTCCTCTCGTTTTCATGTTACTGATTGGACGGTTTTTCCTGGAAAAGTAGCACCAATTGCTGTATCAAGAATGTGACTGAAACTTCTACAAACCTCTTGCGCTAGCTCCTAAAATAGAAAAACAAAGAGTTTATAAAGAAAAAAATGAATGAGAGCTACAGGATATCACTATTGTGTATATTTGCAAATAGTGAGTATAATAAATTGAATTTATACAGTGAGTTAGATTGTCACATGCCCTGAAAAGCATAAATATTAAAAATTGAAAAATTTTTACAATTATGTGTATTTTCTTGATGCTAGTAGTTACTCGTTTTTCTAACACTCTAGCGCAGTGGTGGGAAACCCATGGCTCCCGAGCCATATATGGCTCTTTTGGTGACGGCATACCAAGGCTAAACTTACTATTGTTACCTGATCTCAAACTATAAAGTTATTGTCAAATTGGCAGAACATGCGCTCAATAGCTGCCTATTTTGTTTTAGGAGAAGTACCAGAGACATTGTGACAAAACTAGGGGATTCTGGAACATATTTTGTGACATCATGAAGCGATAGAGTTGCGGAGCAATAAAGAAAAGCCGCCTGTCTGTTTATTTGTAATATTTAGCCCTACCGGGATGCCTAATAGAAATAAAGGCGATGAGTATCATCGATTTCCACATATGTGAGCAGTCGTTCAAGGCCCTCAGCGGCAATATGCAGTGTCAGAAGTCACAATAAATGTATATCGAGACATTGTATGTGTTAACTTTTGAGTAAAAATTTGAGACACGGAGGAAAGAAAAATGCTGAATGGCTCGCACAGAAATGCAACCGAAAATATATTGTAATAAGTATAATTGTACTTTAGAAAAGCAATGAAGATTACCTTGCTTTCGCATTGATAAGCATGAATATTGAACATCGCTTCCTTGTTGCTGTTTTCAAAATCTCTGGCACATTTTACAGCTAACATTGTATTACCAATAAGTCCATCATCGAATATAACAATTCTTTCTATCTTGTGAAGAGGAATACGATATAGAACAGTCTGCGTAATGAGATAACAATGATCATAAGTAATATTAAATTTGCATAGTTTGAAATTCGAAACCCTGCTTACGCAAAACCATGCCTGTCAGTATTTACTAAAGTTTGTCGATCTTATATGGTAGTACCATATCCGTGTTTTGGGGAAAATTAGTATTCCGAAATATAACGCAATAAATCATTGCCACTAAGCTGGTTCTAGTGAAAAAAAACATAGCTTGTGAAATTATGATTTTTTTTTTCAAATCATGCATTTCACTCCAACGCAGCCACTATAGTTTACAAGGACCAGTACCTTTCTAAATCGCATTGCTTACTCACATCTACATTTATTATACCCTGGCCAAGTTGATAGACACAAGATTTGAGACTTTCACCACATCAATGCCCCAATTTAATCCTATTACCAGTACTAATGCATTTGATAAATGACAGTGCTCTGCACTATATTAGATTTGTGTATAGCATCCTCGACTGAGAATGAAAATTCATATCAATGACAACACATCATTTAATACTTACGCTGTTGCTGGCTTTCGTCAGTTTTATCCCATGTACTGTGAGAGATATAACTGCTTCTTCATTTGTCGCCACAAATGGTAGCTCATTTTCTTGCTAAAAAATAATGGAATGAGAAGTGAAGTCTATTTTGGTTCCGCATTATAAAGACATTGTTTAAATATTACCTACATGATTATTGTTTCGCTACTACAAAACTTAGCTTCTGAAGTGTTTAAATACCCCTGGCTGTTATGAATTATAAAAACATGATTTTTCAAAAAGTGGTATTAGATAATGAACATTCCTATTATTTGAAATGTATCTAGGTTATTGTCATATAAAAGTTTGCCTTTGTAAATAAACATTAATTATTAACCAGTTCGGATGATCTTTTTAGAAATCATAAAGAATACAATCAGATGATCTTGCATACCTGAGCAATATCAATCAGATTTATAACATCCAGTGGCCCACATCCTGCACCAGAAACATTTTCCAAGCATCCAACGATTCGAACTGGAAAGTCAGTTTCATTGCCATCGGATAACACCACTAAATATTGGGATGACTTATTTCAGTTCATTTAAGCGAAAGGATTTTCAAACATTATCCCGGGGAAGGAGGATAAGACAGCTCAATCATATGGCAAACCATGGCCTCTCTTTTTGTTACCAATACGAATAGTGTATGCAGTGTGGGATAAGTTATTGGTTTCAGATGCTTGGGCAGTGAAATAAATAGCCACATATTCAAATTACAGATCTCCAACTTAGGGCACAACAGTGTGTGTAACTCGCTTGTAATTCAGCCTCATAATGCATTTTAGTAAACCTTTCCACACACTGACATGATTATTGTATTTAGTAATGCCAACCTGAGCTTACAGCTGAAGAAATGCTGCCTGCCCTTTTCGAACCAGCCTCTGGACTTGACAATGAACTCGATTTTGAAAGATCTTCACTGGAATCCAAGGAGTGAGACTGCAAAATTATATTATATATATATATAGGATATACACTTGCTAACTCAAGTTATCATAGATCTGTATTTGTAGTTTTATTGCATTTTATTTTATCTAAATGTCACATTACCTTGCTCTTTGAACTTCCTTGGCTAAGTGATTGTTCACTGTCATCTCCGCTCAAGCGAGCAATCTTGGTCTGACGCCGAAACATGTCCTATGCAAGTCGGTATTTACTGTGCAGCTAAACAATTCAGATTCTAGTTCGCTTCTAAAGTATGGATATTGGATTGGCCAACTTCTGAATTTGCTGTCGTGACGTAATGGTTTTTAAATTTGAAATCTAAAGTTGAAACCTCGAACGATAACGATGATTTACTTATCACGTTCAGTATTGAAATTTAGACAACCGCATCTTCACTCAAGCTGGTAGTTTTGGGTTCATTCTATGTTTCAACTTTTTTTATACTCCGAATAACCCAAGGGCTAAAGGGTGAACTTGTTGTCAGTGTCTTATAACGGCAGACGATTTTTTTCATGTAAGGCAAAAAAAATCAAACATGCTAAAATTTTGTAACAACCTTTAACAAACGTGTTTACTTGCGTCTTCCGTTGGGGAAATGGTTCTAGCGCTGGGCTATAACCATATTAAACTGGGAGAGAAAGGATTGAAGGCAGTTACTCCCAACATTTTAAGGGTGGTTCCACTGGCAAAGTTCGGCTCTAGCCACAATCAAAGTCCGCATTTGCTACAACGACGTAGTTTTTTTTATCTGACCTGGGCAGGTAAGACGAAAATAGCAACGTTGAGGAGTCCAGCAATTCTTTTCTCACTGTGTTTAAATGGGGTCGTGAGAATGGGTTATTTGGCAACTGGGTTCAAAGGAACTGTTCACTTCTTTTCAAGGAACTACAACTTGTACCAATACTAGCTCAGACATATAATAGCGCAGCCCTGCTGAATATCGAATGAAACTAACTACTCTCTATATCAAAAAATGAATATGGCTCAGGTAGATGGCATCTGAAGCCGCTTCGTCACAATTCATTCAGCGTTTGCTCAGAGAGGAGTCCCACTTTCCTTTTGTGTGAGTGAAATCGCTTTGAGAAAATTCTCAATAATAAAAAAACAGTCACCGGTTGGCATCACATAACCGTTTTTTTACAGGGCTTCCACTCCGAACGAGGCCCTATATAAGCAGCCACTGATATCCAAGGAGCTACTTTTATCCGTACTGGAATTTCTCCTGTTCGACATTGGCCACCCAATTTAATACACAAGGGGCGTGTAAATATGGAGCAAAGATGTGTGGTGCCATCATAGTTAACCCTAACACTTTAATTGCTAGGTCATCACGCTGATCATACATTGTAACATGTCGCTACAGTGGAAATTTTGAACCTATATTTTAACACAATCAGATACTACGAACAAATCTAGTTGTTACTCGTTTAAAAAATATTGTGTTAGTGGTCATCTCAAACTATTTTATCTGATGTTAATTTCCTTCCAAAGAATTCAATGACCTAACTGAACTTTGGACAGCCAAAATCATTAATTTACTTCACAGCGAGTCATGAACAAAATTTCAAAATCAGAAACACATCTTTAAACATTCAAAATTAAGGATAAAGACAATGCTATGTGAAAAAATTGACAGATGTCTAGTTGCTATGTTAATTCTCATCTTGATTTACCAATTTAAAACGATTTTTCCAACGCATATAGATAGGCCTACCGCTTTATAGAATACTGTCTTTCACTTGAAACCCATTATCATATAACCATAGAATAAAAGACGCAGACAAACAATTATTGTAAAAAATGGTGATTCTGATATCTGGAGATGAAACACAATATTGCTATTCAGTCATGGATTAAAAAATTGTCAGTGTGAGCAAGCAAAGAATTGCACAAAAGGCGCAATAAATTACATAATATAATATTGGCAGATTTAAAAATGAAATGAGGTGATCCTACTTGTAAATTAACACTGGTAGTTAATACAAGATAGTCAATCATTAAATCGATACTGCTATGCTTAATATTGGCAAGAATATTAGAAGCAACAAAAATATTGATACGGATTGACCATATTTGGAAAGTTTTCGTTCCTTTGATGTTAATTGTGCATTGCACTACTTCAACTGCAGTTATAATAAAATATGATACTAGACAAAATGGTAAGCAGACTAGAATGATTGCAAAACATGACCGTATGATAACTTACATATGATGAATGTTTGAAATTAATTTCACTAAAAATACTGATTCACACACAATTATTACTGTTTAATTTCGGCAAGTTACAACGTCTGAAAACCTTGGAAAGTCTTTGAAATATTATTCACATTTGCCAAATCAAAACACATAACCAAGTATTAGAATTTTTGTGCATCATTGGGACAATTTACACACACAATATCATAATAAAATGTACAAATTTAGAGATAAGTTTGAATTGTTTTGAGTCGCAAAATTTGATGTAAAATGCAGGGCATATCATGGTATTGAATCTGTTTGCACAAGCAGAGGATTGTGAGGATATCAATGTAGTAGGTGCCTGCTTTCTTCTGGCAGTTGGGTGGAAACCGAACCCTACCTACTCGCTAAAACATCAAAAGTCACAACTTAGCTTTGGAAGCTAATGGTGGCTATATCCACCTCCACCACCGTGGTATCCACCCCCTCCACCACCATATCCGCCTCTTCCACCACCATACCCGCCACCGCCGCCTCCTCCATAACCACTGCGATATCCGCCACCACCACCATCATATCTATCACCCCCACCATATCCATCGTTGCGGCCACCTCCATACCCACGATCGTTGTTTCTACCTCCTCCACCGTAGCCACCACCGCCCCGTCTATCATCACCATAGTCGCCTTTGTCCTTGTTTTCCAATGCCCATTTCAAGTCTGGTCTCACAGACTTCGCCTTCAGCCCCCTCTCTTCGCTGTAATACTCAACTTCGCATGGCTGGTCTTGTATAAGCGTCCTTCGGCCTTTCATATCAATTGTGCTATGGTGAACGAAAACATCCGTATTATTTTCTTGATCTATACATATAAAACCGTATCCTTTGTCGTCATTAAAGAATCTAACTACTCCCTGCGCGGTTTTGGCATCACCAGACATATTTTTAGATCAAAAAAAGCAAAATCAAAGCGGATCAATCGAAGAATGGACCGATTGACGGAAAAGAGTTTTTGCGTTCTATTTGTCACGTGGCTGTTTTTAAAGTCGTACTAAAACCCGGAAAAAAAAGATGTTGAAATTATTTCAAATTTAATTAGTTTCAATTAGATACCTCGTTAAGATTTTTTAATGAAAATAAAATGATAATGTAAATTTAATAGTATACAAAAGAGAAATACCAATAAGACAATCCAATCGAATTGCTGACCGATAATTTCAGCCTGGCTACCAGTCCAGTTTGGATATAAAAAGAGTCCACTACAGTAGTTCTTTTAGACGTAGAAACTTAAATTTTTTTAGTTTTTTATTACTTTTATAAAACAAAAACAATATGTTTTCATATCGCAAGATTTCATTTTGCGATAAAACGTCAGACGATAGAAGGTCATGGATCATCACGTGATTAATCTTAACCAATGAAATGGCGGGCTATACCTTGTGCCATATTCTTGAGATCGGGCCGTCCCTGTGTGTGGTAGATGCCTTCTCGTGGTACTGTGGTACGAAACGCTTTCTCAATTACTATTATCTTTACTGAATATGACAGGTTGTAAACGAGTTATGAATTGATTGAAAAACGTTGAATATTATTATCTTATGTAACATTAGAACATTTGTGTAGTTAACTATATTTTTCACTACTAAGGATTTAGGATCGGATTTACTTTAAACTGTTGGAAAGAAAAAATAGACTGACTAGTACAGTGTAGTATGATGTAAGGTGCGGTGCCTGTATTATAGACGCCACAGAGCTTGTAAAAATCCCCACTAAAATCCTATTCCTCCAGCTGATCAGTATTCAATTGTATGAAAACTTCAGTCAGTCACTGATTACCTACTGCTGTACTGAATTCACACAGTCTGGCAGTGCAGTAACTTCTGAAAAATTAGGTCTGGAAGAGGATATATAAAGTTATTGTTTGTTTCAAAATACTTAACTTAGATATATTATTTTTGGTTTCGATTTTTGTTTGTTTGCCTGTTTAATTTTGTTTTTGTTCGCTCAATGCTGTTTAATATTTTGAATATACAGATATATGTATGTGTGTTGAATGTGGGTAAACTGGCGCATGTATATTTACATGTATTAAACCTTTATAAAGGTTTTGCCAGTTTCCCCGATTTTCTCAATCTTCTGTGTGTTCATTGTTTATGTTTTGTGTATGCTTTTTTTGCGGGAAAATCAAAATATACTTATACTTATTATCGAAATAAGCATGGTGCCCGACGCCCTCGTTTAAGAGACAAAAACAGTGTTTCATTGAACCAAATGCCGGGACATCTTGGAATTGGAGAATTGTGCCCTACTGCAGTACTGTATTTGGATATACAAAACAAATGCTCCATTTTTCAAGAAAATGATAATAGGGTGTAACATGAGTGAAAATCTCAAAAAGCAAGTGTTTGTCTGTAAGGCACGTCTCTTCTATTCCAAGATGTGTCTCAGTAAAACAAGCACTCTATTCTGCTATTTGTCGCTGGAACAAGGGCACCGGTTCTCACTACTTACTGAATAGAGCGCGAAACAGCGCAGAAGAGAGGGAAAGAGCGCAGGAGAGATGGGAACATTTTTCTTTCATTATTTATTAACAGTCGTGAAATTTTAAACAATTTGATGGGAAACAGTATACAGTGGTAGGGAATGATCACGAGTTTATATCAGTAATCTTCAACATCTTTAAATAACCAAACATGACGCACCCTAACCTGGTACACATACTGTGTTCAGGTTGTGCGTCATCTTGATGCACATACTTCATGACGCACCCTAACCTGGTACACATACTGTGTAAACTCGTGATCATTCCCTACTACTGTATGCTGCTTCCCATCAAATTGTTTAAAATTTCATAGACACTAATAAATAACAAAAGAAAAATGTTTCCATCTCTTCTGCGCTGTTTCGCGCTCTTCTGCGCTCTTTCCCTCTCTTCTGCGCTCTATTCAATAAGTAGTGAGACCGAATGGCATCTGGCATGGCGGCAGATCATGCCCTTTTTGTCTCGATAATAATGTATTTTCTTTCGGAGAATATGATCATTTTTCCCCGAGGAATCCAATGGTGACATTTTAGATTGCACTTTTTAGTTTATTGCTCAGTGCTGATTTGTCCCGATATGGAGCCCCAAAATATTTCGTAAATGAGGGGGTTGCATTCACTGTTATAATCGATGTCTGCTATTCTCAGGATCGGAGAATTGTGCAGTACTGGATTGGAGTCGTTTCACTACCCTTTGCAAAATATAAATTATGACAAATTCAAATCTTATTATCTGCTATATATTTCCAGGTTCACATTGTTATAAATTATTGTTTATGCTAGCATTTGTGGCGATAAATATTATCGACATTGTAACTGATTTGTAGCTAAGTACTTTGTTTAGCTTAGCTGCACGATGGCGGATATTCCCAACACAGGGGGTGGTAAGATCCGTTCAAGACGTGCAGCTTCGTCCAGGAAACCATACAGCCGAGCTTCATCTCAGAAAAAGGTTATTTAACTCCTGTTTGTTTGTACAGGCATTCTAGACCTTTAAAATTAATTAAGTTGCAAAAAACTTTATAATAATAAGAAAATCAATTATTGTTACGAATCGCAATATTCATTCAATTCATCGTATATTTTTTCAATAGAAATTTTTTTAAATTATCCAAAGTATTGCATCTTAGACTTGAGGACAGCTTTTTAGTGTAATTTAATCGTATTATGTTCTCTGTTTCTAGACTTTATTCAGTCGTGTTACGGATACATTCAAAAATCTTTTGAATCCTTTTACGCCAAAATGGCTCACAAATCGAATGAACCACGAAACAGATGATCAAGGATCTCCTTCAACAAGGCAAAATCAAGGTATGAAAAAATCGTTCTAATGTGACTATTTTCGTTCCCAATTCCAGTAATCAGACTATTCACAGAATGTACATTTTCGAGAAATAGGTTGATTTTACTTTAGTCAAGAATGGATTATCTGAAGATGGCCCTTATTTGATTGTGGATAGATAATAGATGGCTCTTTTTGCCTTATGATTCATTTCAGATTCTTGGCTGAAAATTTTCCTTTCAACCATTCAATATTTTGCCCTTTTCTCACATTTTTTATATTACAGTTGATCGTGATGATCGTCCTTCGACCTCCTCTAATCACCAGGAAACACACAGTCATACCAATTCCAATCGGGGATCACCTATACGACCACGGCCACCTTTGTTCTCTTCGAAAATATCATCGTCGTCTGTGCAGTGTTTTGTAACTCCACCTGACGTAAGTGCCGAAGTTTTAATTAATTACTAAGCATATAGGCATATATTTTGTGATTAACTGCGCCGAAATGAAACAGCCGTAGCCACATGTCTTATGGGTTACTTACTACACCAGTGGTTTCCAAATTGTGTGTTATGGCACACTGTTGCTGTTTGAGATAATTTTGAGTTTCTCACAAAATATAAATCCATTTTTTGAAAAAATTCGACCAATCAAATTATACATTGGTGTACCATAAAATGTATGTGATTCATACTGTGTGTCCTTTGTATTTTTCATGCTTGATTTTCTAATTTTGGTTAGGTCATATAATTCATTTTAATGCTGAATCATTTCAGTATGGTTTCCTTTATAATATTCAGGAAATACTGTAAATAATTCCAATATTTACGATATGCTAATGCTAAAAATACTATACATATTATGGAAAAATGAAAAAATTCTAAATTTATCATATTTACAAGAATGTGATACTATTATTTTGATCAAAAATTTTCCATCATTGTCATTACACTAAATTGTGTCTATCTGTATGGCATTTTGGTACAATGATCTGTTTTTTGAGAACTGGTCAATCTATTATTCTAGCCTAGCTCGGTCTATTACTAAAAATCTGAGTGAATTTGGAGTTACACGAAACTGACAAGGATCTTTCCTAATCTGGTAGTTCTTTATTTTTGAATGGCTGCATATACAGAACCCTGTTAGAGTGGAACGTGTAAAAATAATGATTTGGTATGATACAAATCGTATAATCCTACTTTTTGGATAGGGATATTGATACCCAGCTAAAATTAATTTTGCCTATGATGATCAGCCTACATTGTTTGATACTTGTATTTAGTTTTTAAATACAAGTATAATGATTTTTTATTCAACGTAATATCTGAGGCAATAATTTCGGTTTAGTTTCTTTTTTTTTAGAATTCTGCACTCGTGATATACGCCATTGCTTTCATATTATCTAATTCACTTCAATTCACAGACGCCGCCTGTTTCTCAGCAAAATCTCACTCCCTCAGCATCTACCTCACTCTCGCGGAGTGGTGGTAGTAGAAAGGCAGGAAAAGAGGACCTTTTAAAGCATCTTAACACCATGAGCAGCAAACGAGTGAAAATTGATTCAGAATCTCCAATCGAAAGCGAATCTTCTTTTTTGAGAAAAGAAATGAAATATCTTTCTGCTAATGGTATATATGAATTTTTTTTTTTTATGAATTGTTATTGTAGATATATCAGGCCTGGAGAATCCTGTACTTTTTCCACTCCTGATATTATTACCCAAAAAAGACATTTTTTTAAGAATTAAGTTAATAGAGTTTTCAACCTTTTTCCCAAAAATTTTCAGTAATATCATGATTTGTCAATTTCAATAAAAAAAAAACATTTTATGTAATGATTTTTTTTTATGAAACAGTATCATTTGGTTTAGGCTCGCAATGCAAAACAGAAATCTGGAATCCTAACGATATAATCAAGAGTATCTCTATCATTTCTGCAGCGAACAGTTTTTACGGGAAACTAATTTTGAATAATGGAAACTGTCACTATTATAATATTTTACCAATGTATTTTCAATCATTCAATTTAGCCTGTATTTGAGTAATGAATGGTTATATTAGGCTTGAAACTTTCTAGAATTTAATAGGCTCGGATAAGATAGACGGATAGTCAATGCTGAAACTTACAAACGATTGCACTTAGTAGCATGGAATGTTATGTTGACGAAAACCTTATAAAATCATTTTATTATAGAATTCACATTGACCAAATTTTCTTAATTTTCCAGACAATGCATCAGTGGCCTCATCGAGTGGTTGTTCTTCATCAATGCAAGCTAGTCAAAGAACAAACACTTCAGGTACATTGAGTTTCATTAGCGGGAAATAAGTGTATATAATAGATCGTTTTGCAAAAAAAAAATTTATTTTTTCAAAACTAATGGGCCGATTTGTTTTAAATTTTCAGTAATAGAAAGAAGGTGATTAAAGCCTCTAGAAATTTTTTTTTTCTCAATTTTCTTCTGTATTCGAAAATACCAAATACCGTTACCTATGATGATCAGCCTACATTGTTTGATACTTCAGTTTAGTTTTTAAACTAGAGTTGACAATGATTTCAATTTACTGTAAAAATCTGAGGTAATCAAAAAAGGTGGCATGAAGTCTACGAATTGATCGTTTTGTAAGAAATTGTTATTGTTCGCTTAAAAGTTTACTACCTAATCTCTCTCAAATTTTCAATACATGATTTTTTTTTTGAATTTTTCGAAGAGCCCCCAAATTTTGACCCTAAGTTTTTTTGCTATAAGAATTCACAGACTCAAGTACAATACATTCGGTAAAATTAATTCCACTCATGTATTCCTATATTTCTACATAGCTCTCTTGTTTCGAATGATTCTACATTTTAATACAACCAAATACCCACCTTTATCATAATTTCTAACAATATCAATCTAGCAGACAATGAAGGGACTGGAAGCCAGAAAAATCTATGGACTTCATCCATGGATTCTCTAGCTTCAAGTAGAACATCTTCATCTCACCAACAACCTACGATGACCAGTCATAAGCGTCCAAGATTTAATCCTGCTATATTTGGAATGCCTGCTGTGGTAAGTTAGCATTAGTATAGGGATGCGACTCAGTAAACTGGGCCCCATTCACCAAAATTTTTTATCATTTAACATGTTAGTAAAGCACCAGTTTTTTTGTAAAAAGCAAAAATGGTATTCACGAAGTACCGTAAATATTCATGAGAAATTATTCTAGAGAAATTTTTTTTTTGAGCTAAATCAAACGTCTCGTAAAGTGCCTTCTTCTCATATTTTACCGAAAATCGGTATTCGCCAAAGATCTTCAACACGCTGGATTGTTTGCAAACTAACGTGGCCAAAATTATCCTCATTAAAAGTTCGACCTGCTCTTAGCGCGATTCGATTAATTACACACCATAATCTTCTGAGTATTTATAATGGGAAAGATAGGAAAACTTCATGTACAAATGATAGCAAAATGAAACTTAACACTGTGTCATTTTTAACAGGGTTCATCCAGTGCTCCTGATCTCAACCAAAGTTCATTTTATAATGGTCCGGTTCAATTTGGTGGTGCCAATGCATCTGGAAAATCAAGTCATTTTGCAACACCATATAAGGTATATCAGGATCTTTATCAATATTTCATATCAGTGGCTCCCAATCTGACCCGCAGGAAAATTACGGCCCTTGTAACGATTTAATATGGCCCGTCGAACTCAAGTGAGCCGTGCAATAACACTTTATGATTATACCCTTTTGCGTTCTAGATACCGCCAATTGTTACGTCATTACTTAAAGCAGTTGTTCTCAAAGTGTACCTCACGACGCCAAAGTGCGACGTTTTACTTTTTCTAGGGCGTCGCAAAACTTTTCCTTTTTTGCGGAATTATACCTGCGGTGCGTAGACAAAGTCAAACTTCTCGTTATTATTGTTTGAATCACACTTGAAAACTGGAGAAGACTGTCGATTTAAAAATTGTAACGATCAACGTTATTTATATGAGACCTCCCTAATGTCATGGGTCATTCAATACTGTTCCCATTATGACATCACGCACACACTAGGTAGGCTTGAGTCATGCAAGTCATTCATTTTTAATCCTTTTATGACCATGGACGTATACGTTGTTGAGCCATGTTCAGCACTTCGCCTGCGTGTGGACTCAAACGAATATTCAATATTGACACCGCGGCAGTTTTCTTCGGGCACAACTTGAATAAAACTCATCGCAAATGAGGTCTTTTATTGAAAGATATCAAGACGTTTTTCACGGGGAGTCGCAACTTGAACATATTTTTTAAAGAGCGTCGCAATACCAAGAAGTTTGAGAACCACTGAATTGAAGAATGTGTATATTTGTAACAATCGATTTGTTATCTTAACAATTCGCTATCTTACTTATACGTACGAGTAGTGTATGAATTTTTGCCTGATAGTCGATAGTAGTTCGAAAATTGCTGCCGTGTAAATAAAGGATGAACTATTTAGGTTTATCTATGGTTAGGATGAAATGAATTGTAAAGTGACTCTGCTGTCATTTTCTTTTCCAGATACCTTCCGTTACTAAGGTCAAAGTTCGTCATATCAATCATCAACGGACGCCTGTTCGCTCATCCATGCACTCGTCAAGAAACACAAAAAGTGAATTAGAAGAATCATCTGCAACTGGTATGAGTTCAACGGCGAAAAAAATCTTGCAGACTTTAGAAAAGATGTCAAGTCCTCTAAACGTAAGATTCTAAAGATTTCAAGTTGTAATAATGGTTTTATAATCAATTTTTAGTTATCGTATATTCTCGCATATAAGATGATCCCATGAAAACAGCCCTAAAATGGTGAATTTATAAAAATTTCGCATATAAGCTGACCTAACAATTCATAACACGCCGTACACACCTTTCACGCTCTTGTCGTGAGAACTTAGCATGGTTCGAGTTGTTAGCATAATGTCATTTCGTTTGAGTGCAATCAGAGATATGAGCGTATAAGTCGAATTTTTAGTGTTATCAGAATTATGCACGTATAAGCCAACCCCTCAGTTTGAAAACTTTTTTTTTACGGTATATAAAATGTCCGGATGTTTGAATCCAGTGATTTGCGTTTTTTCCATAATACTGTTACTGTGAAGTTTTATCCTAGTTTTCATCTTTGCCATACAGGATGCCAGAAGAATTCCCATGACACGAACACCATCTTCGTTCATGGCTGATCGACAAAAACGTCGAACTATTGGTGGATCTTCGAGGCTGGGAACTTCCATGCTTCAGGTATATATTTATTTCTTCCACTTAGAAATACAAAAAAATGGATTGTTGCTTTTCAAAATTTATTTCAGAATCTACCCTACCAAAAAATATTTATACTCTGAATAAATAAAGCTAAATAAATTCATCAAATTACAAATCTCTGAACATGAGATACTTTTGGGAAAGTTAATTTTTCTATTTTGATCAAAAATACAAAGTTACTAAAAATTTTTTTAACATTAATATTTTAGGAAGTTTGTTCTTCATGAAAATGTTCGCTAGAATAAGATATCACCAAATTTATGATTGAAAGAATTGTATGTCTTCAAAATACTTAGCTTAATTAAGGAAAAATCTTTATAATAATGGCTTTTCACTAATTATAGAGATAAAGGATCTAATATGTAATTTCAACTGAAAATTTATAATTACGCTCTCAATCGAATTTATAGTAATGAGAAAATGTCTTTTCGAGATAATTGCAATTTTTTCTTCTGTACAAGAATACTTATTTTGAATATAATTAGAAATTACTGCTTAACTGTATAAAAAATAATGTATTTTAAAATTATAAAAATGATTGTTTTTAGTAAAAAATTAATTTCTTATAAAATATCAAATTAGTGATTTAATGATTTCATCCCAAAACCTAATCAATTTCAATTTGTAAAAAAAAATCAGAACTTCTCTATCATATTACAGTCATATCTAGCATGATACAATGGTAATAATATTTTCTAATCATAACTTATCGATTTTAATCCGTAAGTATGTTGATAGGTATTTGTATGTCTGTTTGTCTGTTAGATGCACGCGATATCTCACGAAAGCGAGATTGAATCTGCTCCAGATTTTGCATGTGCATTCATCTTATCTCGGACCAGAAGCCTATTGATTTTGGGCGAATTATGTCGTATAATTAGCGAGTTATTAATTAATTAGTGATGGGGCACAGGGTGTCACTATGGAGTAAGAGCGCTGTTTTAGGGGATCCCCTAACTTTTGATCAATAAGTTTTTCGGCCTCTGACCGATATTCTCGTGTTCCAATTTTAGTTTATTTTCTATATTATTCAGCCTCCACCGACTGTCGGAATCTCAAGTCCTTCTACTGCACGATTACGACGCAGAAGTCATATGCCTATGAATAATAGTTTACTTGTGAGAAAACAACCACAGTTCTCTGAAAGGAGGGAAATGGAAGACACTAGGTATGTTTTTTTAACACAAAGATTGTTTTATAAAGTTGTTGTTGTTGCGGAGATTGTTGTTGCTCTTCTCCACAACGCATGGACTAATTAAATACAAAATATTTGTAATTAATAAAAATGGAATGAGTCTCTATTTTTTCTGCCGCTCCCAAATTTTTCTGTTTTCATATGGCATTCGATACTTATACCATTTTACTGGAATTTTGTTGACCTTCGTGACCTTTTATTTGAGCATCACTCTCTTGTTTTGTCAGCGATATCTATCATTACCTGAGACACGATGCAGAGCGTCTATGACTAATTGTTTGTTGTTTGGAATACAATTTGGAAAAAAAAAAAATTGCCTATGATGATCAGCCTACATTGTTTGATGCTTGTATTTAGTTTTTAAATACAAGTATAATGATTTTTTTAACGTAAAATCTGAGGCAAAATTAATGAATTTTTTTTTTTTCATTTGTTTTACTATCGAATAAGACTCGGAGCAAGTAAGCAATTAGATAAGGCCGCTTTTTGTACGAGAGACTCCAAATTCCAACAATTATCATTCTCCTTATTATTTTTGGTATATTCCATTTTGGGCTTATCAGGATTCTAATCTGAGATTTCCTAATTAACGTGTCAACGTTTTCTTCTGTTAACATATAAATTGTTGATTAAATTTACCTATTTTTTCAGAGATGATCCAGGGCCATCTACAATTGCAATTCCTGATTCGAAATCGATTTCAGTTAGAGGATTGCCAGGTCCTATATCATCAATGACCTCATCAGGTATGCTCGATTATTAGTTGATAAATCAAGTAATTTTGTTTAGATGTTAAGAGTATTGAAATAAAGTCACTCGAGTTGAGTCGATGTTTTGAGTATTAGAAAAAAGTTATTCGAGTTGAGTCGATGCGGTGAATATCGGAAAAATGGGACTCAATTTGGGTCGATGCTGTGAGTATCAAAAAAAAGTGACTTGAGTCGATGCCGTGAGTCTCGGAAAAAAATGACTCAAGTTGAGTCGATGCAGGTAGTATCAGAAAAAAGTGACTCAAGTTGAGTCAATGACTGAAATGTACTCAGTACTTGCTTGAGGCTCTTTTTCTAATATATGAATGAATTTACGTTATTGTATTGGAAAGGTATGGTGAAAAGGGAAAACTAAAAACTTTCGACAATTCAATTTTATTTCACTCTAATTTGGAAACAAGATTTAAGATACAGTTGAAAACTCAAATTATCATATTCATATTGGAGAATTATTTTTGATTTCAGAATTGCAATACTCTATTTCAACTTTTATTTCAAAAATCTGAAAAGATTTGCACTTCTGTATTTATAATTAGTTATTTGTCAAACTTTTATGACTGGTGGCCCAATTCTACACACTATTAACACTTGTGGCCCTCGACTTCATGAAACGTAGTTTTGCTTTTAACATCTTCCCATCGGGTATTTTATGCACCATCTTCCCAACGAACCTCTTCCACTCTAATTTTCTGTCATTCAATTTTAGTAAATCGGTAATAACGGAGTGTAGTACTTTGCTTGAGCCCTTTTTGTACCTGGGGAATCACTCTGTGGCCCCCTAGAGGAGACGAGGGCCCAATTTTACGATCCCTGTATTAGATTTTCGATAGAAAAGTCAGAATCATTTTCTTTCTGCATACTTAATTTAGTAAATATTGATAGTTAGGTAGCAATTTTCTAATCAAAAAATTAAATATTTAAAAAAAAAATTGTCACAGCATCTATGCCAAAAAGAAATTCACGATCATCATTTGGTAATGAGGGATACGGTGGTGGCGGAGGCGGCAAAATGAAATCACAAAAAAGAACATCTGCACATTATTCATCAACACAAAATGATGAAGAGGAAATGGTAATGCTATGTTTTTAACTTTATCAATTTTTAAAATAATCTTAGCGTTTGCTCGTCTTGTTTGGAGTAAAATAACTGATCAATTTCCAACCAGATTTTCGGGACCAAATCTTCGGCCTGATTTTCTTGTGTTGACTTATTGGGCAGCTCGGGTTATTTTCTTCAAAAAAGGCTTAACCAGTAAAAAACAATGTCTTGTTACAACCTTTTCAGTCTTCTAGTAATTTTCAAAGGGAGTATCAACCTCCGGCGTTCTGGCTTCTTGTATATTAAAATTACTTGTAACTCGGTATTCGTTAAAGATATTCGAATTATTTGATTCGAAAAAAAAACTATTCAAGCCACCCCTATTGTAAGGTTTCTTATTTGCAATTTTCATGTATTTTTCTAGTTTTCAGCCATTTTTTTCTTTTTCAGTCCGAGGTCCCAGATCTTCCCAACGTTCCTCTTCCACTTTCCAATCTGCCGTCGTTTAATTTCGGTAAATCGATGATGACGTCTACTCCCACGATAAGACCAGCAGAGAAGAAAAAGAGTCAATTGGTAATTAATCGTGCTTTGGAGTGTCTTTTTATTAAGTATGTGCCATGGATGGGCCGTGCCTTGTCGGCACAATCCAACCATGGCACATGCTTGATTTTAAAATTTTTCTTATTTTTTGTTTGTTTTAGGAATCGAATCAGCCTGAATTTAACTTCGCGTCACCTTTAGTGAAAACCACGAACACAGATAATGGGAAAGTTCAATCATCTACTACTAATACAGTAAGTTGGGATATTGTTTGATGTTTTACTAACTAACTGTTTCATATTATTTGTGCCGGATTCCAGGAAAATAATTGTTTTACTTATTTTTTTTCGACATGTTTTGAATGTGCAGAAATATTTTGAATTTTTAGATATCCTTTTTTGAATATTTTTTACAATTATTTTTTGATGCATTGAATGTTTTTCCAAAGAACTCGCATCTCGCTCAAAGTAAGGTCTAATGCACTTACTCAGAAGTAAAGAAAGTGCACTCTCTTTGTCATAATATTTAATACAATAAGTTAATAACATTCTTATTCTTGTATTTTATTTTTTCAGCCAAAGTTTCAATTTAGTTCTCCACCTATAAAGAGTTCATCAATCGGAGATGAGCAGGGTAAGAAAATATAATATACTTAATACTTCATTTATGTATCAGACAGCTTGGTGTTTAATAATAATTCGTACAAATTTGCTATATAAAGCAGATCAGAATATGAGTGGTATGTTGTAAACGTTCGCTCAAAGTAAGGTTGTGAGTCTTTATTTAAAATTTGGAGGAGAAAACGCTGGCTCGATCTCGGGTAATTGCCTGTGCGCTATGAACGACTATTTTCTTGAGTTTGTCCTAACAATTTTGACTTCAATAGGCTGCAAATCTGCCAGAAAATTCGGAATTTAGATCCCAAACTCTAGGTCTTTCAGTTTCAGTATTCATAAAACTTTAAACGACTTTATTTTTCCCCAGAAACCCCCAAAGCTCGTCCCAGTTCCAATTTTAATTCCGGTAGCAAAAATAGCACACCAACATTGATGTTCGCACCTGATCCAAAAATTGTCTCGGCTGTGAAAGCAACTAAGAGAAGATCTTCACCGTTAGCTACTCCAAACAACGCAGCCAATTCGTCGTCAGATGGTATTGTTACTTCATCTGAACCGCTCAAAGCTGGCAGTGTAATGGATATCTTAGGTAAGAGTATGGGATTTTTTACTCTTCTCTCTTAGCAAGGCTCTGACAAGATAGCTACTATTTTGGAAACTATTGGTTTTGACATTGTCTAGTGCAGGGGTGCACAACTCAAATGAGGATACGTGCCAAATTTTTCAAAATAATCTTGTGGCGTGCCACGCACAGTTGTGGTATTGTAAATTAACTCATGCAAAACAAACAACAAAATTCAATAATAATACATAATAACGGATATCTATTTATTGAAACAATTTAATGTCCTCAAAAACTGCTGATTTTGATATAAACGTGATATTTTAATGTATATCATAAATATTTTTTTTTTACAAAACCGTTCGCGTGCCACGTTTGAGCGTTTGGTGTGCCAAATTGGGCACGCGTGCCCCGTGTTGTGCACCCCTGGTCTAGTGCATTACGGCCCGTGGGCTAAACTCGACCTGTCAGAAAAATCAATCCGGCCCGCCTTGATGCTGTCACAACCAACTAAAACCAATTTTTGATGTTTTAGCCAAAAAATTGCTCAAAGAAATTTGTTGAGATGGCGATTAAATTTAGTTTTGGCACAAGCTTATTGCTTTCTACTTTTGCATATGTAACAATTTTAAATATTGTTCATGTAACGAGACTTTTTACGTCACACTTACATGGCCCGCCAGTCTGGGTGGGCATAATTTGTGGACCCCGGTCCAGAAACCTTGCCTACCCCTGCTCCAGTGTCTACCGTGAGGTAATGGACATACGATGTGTGCCCGAAATCATGTATTACTAACATAGGTCCAACTAGACTAGGCAGTGACAGGCGACACAAATACACATCAATTGTTAACAAATAGTTAGGAATACAGAATTATTCATTTTAGTTGATTATTACTTATCGATCTTAAGATCGGTAAGTATATTGATAGGTATTTGTCTGTGTGTCTGTTAGATGAACGCGATATCTCGCGAATGCGAGGTTGAATCTGCTCCAAATTTTGCATGTGCATACATCATATCTCGGACCAGAAGCCTATAGATTTTGGGTTAATTATGTCATATAATTAGCGAGTTATTAACTAATTACCGATCTAAGATCGATAAGTCTTCGGTCTCCGACCGATATTCTCGTTCCAATTTCATTTAATTTTAGCAAAATTATGACATCAAATTTTAATCCTAATTTTTCATGTTGTAAAATACTATCTCTGGGAATATGCATACATACATGTCATTTTCATGTTCATTAAGTTTCGAAAATTCAAAAATTTTATCATTCGACTTTCTATTGAGCAAGCTGTATATTAACTTGTGCATATTCAACATTTTTTTTATAATCTATTCAAAACGACAATTATTTCCATTATGGTATCTTTTTACAATATTATTCAGAATTGTTTGAGCTCCTAAGGTTTTTATTTTGTCTTCTCTAAAAAGTCACTCACAAATTAAGCTACTCTTCCTCCACTCATTTCTTGTCGTTATTACTTCTTAATCATATTCAGGTGGAAAGAAAACAAAGGCAGACTCTACCTCAAGTCCATTAACAAGTGGATCATCAACTTTGCCACTTCTAACACAAAATAAATCCGGATGGAGGTGTGACGTCTGTATGCTACAAAACGATGACGCCACAAGTAGTTGTGTGGCATGCGCGACTCCAAAACCTGGTGGTGCCATAAAACCACTGCAAGCCTTAACATCTAACAATAAGGGATGGAGGTGTGACATATGCATGGTACAGAATGACACTGAAAACGGAAAATGCGAGGCATGTAAAACACCAAAACCTGGCTCAGCTGCCACGAACGCACCGAAAAAACTCAGCGGGGGTCTTTTTGGTTCTGGTAACACCAATATCGCCCCAACGAACCCTAAATTTTCTTTTGGTATCAAACTGAATAAAGAATCGGATAATAACGACCAAAAAAGTCTTGGTTCGATGTTTAAAAAACCGACAGGGTCGTGGAATTGCGAGTCCTGTTTTCTGCGTAATGACGCTTCTAATTCGACATGCGAAGCTTGTCAAACACCAAAATCTGGGGCTTCAGCAAGTTTGCCAAACAACGTTTCTTCCAATACATCAGAAAAAGCCCCAACGTTTAAATTCGGAATGCCATCAAAAAGGTGAGTGTCATTTTTCTGTGTACTATTATGTTTTTATGATCGTTTTGAAAATTGATTTCACAAAATATGACCAAAAAGGCCTTCAATTAATTTACGAATACTTTGAAATATGAATATGGTCGAATCAAACTTTCTTGTTGCTTCGAATTCCAAGAAGGCTAAATTTGAGTAACGAAAATACATTCTTTTTTTATTTGTCTGCTGAAAATGCTTATTCTGTTCGAATATTTTTTGAGTTTCTGTTGGAAATATTACATTTGATTATCGCCAATAAAAGTCTGAGGTCCTGGCCCTGAGAGAGTTTTAAATTTCAACTTGACCTTCGACCCCAACATCAATATGAACATACGAAACTACGACTTCATAACCCTGACTGTATGTAATAAAACACAAGCCTAAATCACTAATTAAAAGATGTTAAATGTACAACACGCTACGCTATATGGCGAAATATTATTCATTTGATATTGTTTTAGTGCTGCGGATAGTACCACCAAGCCTAGTTTAGGATCTTTATTCAAAAAAGCTCCCGGGTCGTGGGAATGTGAAGTTTGTATGGTCAAAAATAATCCAGAGAGGAAAATATGCGAGGCGTGTGAAAGTCCTAAACCAGGTAAAACTATTAACCAATTTAAATATACATCCTGGAAAGAAAATTTTATATGAAAATTGAATTTTGGTTTTCTTTGATGTTACACATACTCATTCGAACAAAACACTCACTCATGTGTTTACTACTCTTCATCTACTCATTTCTTCACATTTTTCAAGTTATATTTATAATAATATTCAGAGGGTTTGAGCCAATTCTTGAACTCAAGTTCTCAGACTTGCGATACTAAACGCTCAATCCTCCGAAATTTCAACACTAAATATATGCTAGGGTTAAGTATGGGCATTGATAAGTGCGCTGTATAGATATAATCCATTTACATATGTGGCTTGTGCCCTACAAATTCTATTTTTGTGTGATGAAACATGCTGTTTAGACATGGTCTATATATGGCCTATGTTCGATAAAAGATACTTTTTGTGAATCCTATGATAAAGGTTATTTTCAATACCAGGAACTAAGAAAGAGCTGAACACTTCCTTCAAATTCGGAGATGCGTCGGCTGGAATAATAAAATTCGGAATACCCGACGCAAAAGCTCAAGTGGAAACTAGCAAAATCACAATTGAAAACAAGAACGAAGAAAAACCAAAACAGGATCCCACAATCTCACAAACTAACGCAGGTGTGTATAGAAAAGATAGGCAGAGAGGCTATCATCCTTTCTCTAATAAAATTGGCAAATTTACATTTGCCGGTTTTATGGTTTGACCATAACAGGTTGCAAATCTTTATTTGGTTTCAGAGCCGCCTGCTTCATCAAATCCCTCATTTCAATTCGGAGCCCCCGCTGCTGCATCTGCACCCACTTTTGGTTCTACTGAACAAAAACCTGGAATATCGGCTCCTACGTTTGGGTTGAAACCGCCCGTCTCAACTGAACAACCGTGCTCATCAGAACCTGAGAAACCGAAAACTACAGGCTTGTTTAGTTTTGGAGTTCCAAAAACGAATAACGCGTCTTCTGGTTAGTCGTAATCTATTACAATTTTGGTGTTTTGTGGTATTTGATGGTAACTCGAGGTTTCTAAACTTTTCATACTCACAACTCATTTACTGAATGAAAATTAAATTTTGTTTTATAATATAAACACTTTTCATATGGCATACTTCTGCTCTGAACAAGGCTCTGCGCAAGCAGTCACTTCTGGGTACGAATCTAGCACAGTTTGGACAGGGCAGAATTTTTCTGGTTGGACATTGCCTAATGCCTACCCAATTCATTACGCCCTGGGTGAGGTGAAGGACCTAGGATTTGAACCCGAGTTTTTAACTTGCCGTGTGAGTTTAGTAGGGGTCGACAAACTTTGTGTACTACTGGGACAAATATGCAAATTGATGGCAGCACGCGGCAGCAGTTTCTATTTTTAAACGATTGCCACGTAATTATGACCACCCTGCTATTTCTGACGTCGATTGAGGGCCACGAAAATTTGTTTGCGGGCCTTATTTGGCCCGCAGGCGCAGTTTGCCGACCACTGGTTTAGTTTAACGCTTCAACCACCATGCCCACATTTAATTGGTAAACAAACTATCATAATGTTACTGAATCATAAATGTTGTCAGTTATGCAATACAAAGTTATATACCGAAGTTATACAATATGTTATAAATGGACTGGGTTCAGTTTTTTTGGGGTCATCCTATACTTCGTTTAAGGGGTGGTAACCTCACATATACATCCAGCAGTCTTAGTACTACTGTGTGTTTGTTTTCCCAAAATTTGAATCATATTTATCTCATTGTACAGAACCAGTTGCAAAAGATGCCAAACAACTTGGATTTACTTTTGGTGCCCAGCAATCAACATCTTCTGCACCAGAATCATCTGGTTTTAAATTTGGTGTTCAAGCACCTGCATCATCTACCCCTCCACTAGGAAATGAAACAAAGCCATCATCAACTGCTTTTTCGGCACAGCCTACTCTGAGCACTGCTCCAGGTACTGGTATTTCCCATTTTTTAGAATATCACTCATCTTTTTTCACTCGCATATCAAACACTAACAAAACTAGTAATTGTTAACTAATAATTGTTCTATTTCAAACAGTGTCAAATACTGCTACAATACCTACATTTGGGGTGTCTACCAATTCGTTATCGCAAACAACGCAAGCTAATTCAAGTTTAGGAGGGTTTGGTGGTTTCAAAGCCCCTACTGTTCAAGGTATGTATCAATCAAGAAAAAAATATATAAAAAAAATTATAATTTGAGTTTTTAAATTTTTTTATTTTTCTGAAGCACCTACTAAACCAGAAGAACAGAAATCCGCAGCATCGACTTTCTCATTTGGACAAAACAAGCCAGCACAGTCTGGCGGAACTTTCCAGTTCAGTGGTTCCAATGCAACAGAACCTGCAAATCCGACTTGCAGTTCTAATGCAGCTGCCAACAAGACATTATTTGGATTAGCACAATCGGCTTCTGCTCAAGAATCAAAGCCAGCTTTTGGCTTCGGAAAACAACAGGATAAACCTGTCTCAACCGGATTCACAGGTTTTGGAAATCAATCTACTGGAGGTATTTTGTTTTTTATTGTTGAAGTAAGATTGCCAATGCCTCACATAAAACTTACTCAAGAAAGCACTCTCTGCAATGTTGAGAAGACTGGAGTCGGTGACTCTTGCTTGAACTTGACTCGAGATTCGAAAAGCTAATGGCTCGCAATGTGGGAGCTTGCACTCAGCAGTGAAATTCCGAGATCTACTGTGAAAAATTTTAATCCTGAAACGGCCCATACAATTTATTACACTCTACATTTGGAAAGGAGTATAGAGTGTGATGAAATTTTTGTAATGAGAATGTGTCCGTCATTTTTACTCTTCGTGCAGTAGGCTATATCATCCAATTTGTTATGCTCCAGATGTTAACAATAATTAATAGATTTCTGTCATTTTGACAAAATATGAATATCACATTCTCTCTTTATTTTATTTTCTCACTAAAAATGAAAATAACTATTTTCAGCTAATGATGCAAGCAAGCCATCCACCTTTTCTGGATTCGGTGCCACCAACCAACAGAACAACGCACCAGCAGCTGAACCGCCAAAATCCACATTTGGAGGTTTCGGTTTTGGATCTTCTGCTCCTGCAGTTTCATTACCATCAGGTATTTGGAAATTACATTAAAATGTAGGGTGAAGTAAATGATAGTTTCTATAGTGTTTGTTTGTTTTTTTAGGTGGGGTTTTTGGAAGTACCCCGTTCGGGGCGAGTACAGCGTCAAGTAATTCTCAGCCTTTTGGAAGTTCTAATTCGGCGTCTGTACAGCCGTCTCCGTTCGGACAGACTAGCTCTACAGAATCTACCGGAATGTTTGGCACCAACCGTAATCCGCCGCCTCCGTTCGGAGCTCAGTTGACAAACAACGCGAATCCTGGGATACCAAAACCTTCGTTTGCTTTCGGTGCATCTTCTAATAATGAGCCTTCACAACAAAAAACGCCAGGTAGTCCGATTCTTAAATTCTTTTGTTAGGGGCGTCAATATATCTTTGTCTTCAAACGTCTCGACAAGCTCTGAGCCAGTTACAATTGCTTTCTGCGAATGCTTAGTTAACTTTACTCATTTTTTTGCAGTATTTTTGGCTTCGTCTGAAGGTATGACTCTTAAAAAAAATCTGAAATTTTTACCTCAACTTTGACCCTTGACTGGAAGAGTTCTCACGACTCAACGACCCTTTTTATAACAGTAATTTCCAACCTTTTCGAAGCACTGTGAACCCTCATAAATACTTTGAAATCGAGCTTTTGAAGTTTTGCTTTTTTAAACTTTATAATTCCACAGACCAAGTTTAACAAATCTTCTCTCCCTAAATCTTTTTCCTTCTACTTCAGCTTTTGGTGGATTTCAATTCGGAGGAAACAACGAACAGAACGCTGCACCTGCACAACAAAGCGGCTTCAATTTTGGTGCGAGCAGTGCAGCCCCTGTGTTTGGAGGAACGCCTAATAAACCTCCGCCAGCTTTTAATGCCAGTAAGTAGATTTTCATTACTTATCGATCCCGATCGATCGCTAAGTATGTTGATAGGTATTTGTCTGTTTGTTCCACTTTCGTATGTTACGCAATATCTCACGAAAGCGAGGTTTTGGATGAATTATGTCGTATAATTAGCGAGTTATTAATTAATTATTGATGGGACATGCAGTGTCGCGAAGGAAGTCGGAGCGAAGGAATCGAAACCGCAAGATCGATAAGTCGGCGGTCTCTGATCGCTATCTAGTTTAATGTATTGTAACTTTTTGGCTTTGCAGAATCTAAGCAATTTATAAAGCTTGGTCGTAATTCTGTAAAAATTTCATTGCGAACTCAGGTCAAGGGGTCAAGTTAATGCAAAGACTGACAAGGACGCCATGTTAACCCTGACCAGACCTAAAAATTTATTCGCGAACTCAGGTCAAGGGGTCAAGTAAACGCAAAGACTGACGAGGGCGCCATGTCAATCTTGACCAAAGCGCAATGAAATATTGACCAAATTTGCTGATACCCCAGTCTGATCATAAGATTTTCAAATTTAACTCTTAAAATCCCCTTTTTTAAAATAACCAGCCCCGGCTGCCCCAGCAGCAGGATTTCAGTTTGGCAACTCTTCATCCAATCAAAGCAATGGCATGTTCCAGTTTGGAGCCGGATCTAACCAGTCGAAACCAGAACAACCTGCTGAAAACAAGTCAGGAATGTTTGTTTTTGGTGGAAATAATCCAGCAAGCAATAACACACAACAGCAACAATCAACTGGTTTTAATTTTGGAGCTTCTACAGCCCCATCGTCTTTCAATTTTTCGTAAGTTGAATAGTTTTTTATGCAATTTTTTTTTATTCATCTTTACCTCTAAAATAGGACATATTCGTATGTACGTCTTTTCCTGTGAACTGGGCTTTACAGAAGCAATCACTGATAGGTATGAACAGCTGTGGGCAAGGTTTCTGAACCAAGGGCCAACAATTTTGCCGACCTGGACTGGCAGGCCATGTGCGAAGTAAAAAGTTACATTTTAGGAACAATATTTAAATTGTTACAAAAGCAAAAGTGGAAAACAATAAGCCTCGGGCCAAAACAAAATTTAATCGCAAACTCAACAAATTCTTTGAGCTATTTTTAGCTAAAACATCAAAATTTGGTTTTAGTTTGATTGTGCCGGCATCAGGCGGGCCAGATTGAATTGCCCAGCGAGCCGGATTTGATCCATGTCGGGGTATAAGGCTACTCTATTTTGGAATAATCGAGGCCTTCTTATTTGGCATTGCGTAATAACAAGATTGAATTTTAATTATTCACCTCTTCCAGTGGTCCTTCTCACTCTGAACAAAGGGTCTACGCAAGAAAGTTGTGAGCTACTAATTTTGGAAGTTTTCCCATTCCGACATTACCTACCCAATTTATTACACCCGGGTTGGGGTGAAGGGCATAGGTTTTGAACCCCAGATTTTTAGCCGTCATGCCAACTTAGTTTTAGTAACAATGGTAAATTTTACTTTTTTTTTTCAGTGGTTCTCAACCGGCTACATCTCAGAACGCGTTCACCGGAAGTGTGTCAAACGCAGCGTTCACCGGAAGTACGCCAAACGCAAACCCATTCAATGCTGCATCATCTGGTGCCACCCCGGGGGGTAGACGTGTAAGACAAGCCAGAAGAAGACTTAAAAAATGAAAATGTAAATGAAATCATATCGGGTGAATGTGTTTAGAAGGTGAAATGATGATATAGCATTACAGTACGAAGCATAATGCTTGTATTGGTAATTGCTTTTACCTAATATGGAATCGTGGATTTCAAGTTCACAATGTTGCATATTTGGTTGTTTTCGAAGTCGAAATTTGGTTTTTCGATCTGTCTTTATGGCACAATATGACTGAATAAATAAAAAAACTCACAAAAGAAAAAAATCGAGATTTTTTGATTTGATCGAAACTCTGTTTTTTGATATTGTATATTTTTTCGAATTATTCTCACAAAAACAGTGTTAGCTAATCACGTGGCAAATGTCGTCGCTCGCTGGACAATAAAAAAGCCCAGCAGCGGAAATATGCGCCTATTTTTGGTGTCGTCAAAAACATCGCTACCTACCCGTATATGGTATTTTTCCTGCCTTTTGTGTGAATAATGATTAGTTCTATGTGTTGTAGTAATTCTGTGTGAAACTAGGGGATCTATTCAGTCGAGTTCCATAGATGTTGTTCAGATTTTGTTTGGACCGTGTTCAATCACGTTGTAAATTTATCCCCTTAAAAGTGCAATATGCAATGATATTAATTTCATCTAGTTGAGTACAAAGTTCTTATTTTTACTGTATTATTTCCATCATTGCCAAAAAATTATAGCGGAGAATTTTGTCGCAACGATTTCATCCATTCCTATTATTTATTGTGGGTGCGCGTGCCATTATCTATATCTATAACATCGCTATTGATGAGGCAGTTACACGTCATCACCCCCATTGGTACAAAAATATATTTTTCTACGATCTTGTTCCTTCGCGTTTTTGCTGTCACCCTCGTCTTTAGCTAACACTGAAAGTTCTAATACATATTTTGAATGTCGCTTTCGTTGTTTTTTTTGCTTTTTCATTTTTAAATTCTCTGCCGCATCAATTTTCTTTTTTGCTGTACGCGATTACCGCAGCTTAACAGGTAAATTTTACTTAATTTTGTTCTTCTCAACAGCATTTGTTATACAAAAATGCATTTATTTGTTATAAATGGTCTGTTTGATTTACTATAAAGTGAAAAAGCGATTTTCTGTCCTATGATTCGCTGGTTCTTACTAATTCTGAGTGTGTCTACTTTTATAAAAATATCATATGGCATCCATTTTTTGTTTTGGCCATACTGATAATATAATATTTAAACTTTGGTGTTGATAGTCATCTGTTTTAATCAAAACACTACCTTTTGATGTTAATTTGCCATCATGGTTTGATTAGAACGAAAAATTAGGTACAATTGATATTTTTTCAGTTTCTCCAAATGGTAAATTACTGCTAAATACATCATGTAAGTTATAAAAAACTTCCGAAATAGCGCTGTTAATAAAAAAAAATTTGGATTGTTGTTATGACAATATATGGAATTATTTAATTCATCCTTTCCTGAAATTAGCAGAATGAATATCTAATGTGAAATATTTGTCATTTTCCATCAAAATGTAGAAAAAAAAATGTGACATAATTTTTTGTTATTGTTTAAAATTTGAATAAAAATAACATGCCATAATAAAAATCCCAATGGGCAGTTCGATAATGGCAGGAATGTGCTCCATATTGCAACAATCCCCCTTGTTTTGTCTCCTATATTGAGAATGGTAAGCTCAAATAATAATGTACAGTGCCATCTGTTACTAGCTCTGATCAATGGATGGTCTTTTCTAATTCTTGATTCATTTTTGTATGGTATTGCGCAATCTTGTTCGAGTTCTAATAATAATTATTTGTGTTGTTGCATATTTTGTAGAAGTCTTATGGTCTGCAATTTTGAAAATTAACTAAAATTGGTTTTTTACACAGTGGAATTTTCTTACCGTGACTGCCGATGGCTGTATTCCGACATTATTTTTCTGTATTTCTTGTGACTGGTCTGTTTCGAAATACTTTGCTTATTCACACGTCGATGACTCTTTTTCACAAATTTATAGCTGTTAATAAAATTTTCTGCTTATAAAATGCTTTCAAATAGGGCTGCTTCAAGGTAGGACGGGTTGTGACCAATGCCCAGATCCTGGTTGCTTTTATTGAGTTTTGGTCTAAGACCGACGCAACCGCTATCGCAAATGCTGTGGTCGGTCAGTCTTGTTCTAGGGCGCTGCCCGGCAACCTGCGGCCCTTTGTTCTCGTAGTTCTGGCTCCCGTGAATCAAAGTGGTTACAGCATTTTTTGTTAAAAGCGGATTGAATAAAAAGAGGGGCGTAGGGCTAAATACCTATGAAAGTATAAGCCGGGAGCGATAAAAATGGATCCCATTAAGGCGATACAAGTCCGTCAAATAGAACTTTTTAACTTACCAGTTCTATTCATGGACTCAATTATTGCATCATTCGTATTTCATTTGCCTTCTTCTTAGTAAGAACTAGATTATTGGATGCTCCCGAAGTATGTGCACCAGGATGGCGCACAACCTGAACCCTAACCTGGTACACATGCTATGTTTAGGTTGTGCGCTATCTTGATGCACATACTTCTAGAAGTCCGATTATTGCATGATAAGTGGTTTCCGAGAGTTTTGACGGCCCCATTAAAGTGGGTGTTGTGGCTCCGAGTAGGTTTAAGTATGCTGGAAATGATGTCTAATGGCTCTTTTAATGCTAAAGGTTGGCGACCCGTGTCCCCCCAGTTTCGAATACCTTCCATCAGACAGAATCAATACGAAAGAATCCATGTTACATCAATTTATTTGAATGTTCGAGTTCTGAATATTATGTGCAAGGCTATCTAGTTGAGCGAAAATCTCAAATTAATTCTACACTCATCAGTTTACTTGTGATACTGATTTTTATCTCTCGAAAATGATAAGTTCAACCATCCGCTCCGTGTGTTATTTTTTAAGCAAGTGATTGAGATTGCAGAGTAAACTTGTTAACGAATGTCGAGTACGCTGATTTTGCCTTCTAAAATATAAGCTTTGTCCATAGACTCGTGGCCTGTTAGGCAGTGGAGGGCCATAAGGGTAGCCAGACCAAGCAGCATGTTGTAAGGAGCAACAGACCCAATTTGTGTAGTTCGCGTTATTATACATGTTTTTTTTTGAAAAAAAAAATAAAAAAACTGACATTACGTGTATAGCCTGTAACTGATTGATTTCACTATTAATTCTTATTCATTCTTATGTATATATATAAACCTACATCTATAATTTGTTTATCCCTCGAATTATTTTTAAGGTAAGGTAAGAGGGGCATCATTATCAAAAATTGGCCCTGGGCATCATAAAACAGTGAGGAACGAGGCTTCTGCGAGACTACAGTAAAAGTACAGTAGTATCAAAACGATGACTGCACAGCATTTGCTAGCGGCATCAGTGTGATCACATTCAACACATTTTGAAAGTTGAATAATTGCTAGTTTTGGTATATATATATATATATTTATATGCCCTAAGATACACCTTTTCATGGAAAAACGCGTTAGAAAAGTTGAATATAATCAGGGATGCTACATAAGCAGGACCTCCTCGTTGAGCGTAGTCTAAAGTTGGTTTTTGCAGTCCAATATTTCCAGCTAATCTTGGAATAAGTAGTTCTGTGGTTTGAAATGTATTCATTTCTGCCAAGAACGAGAATCAAACGCTTTGGTTAAAATATCAATGCTGTAGTGTTAGATGATTAAAATATATAGATAATGAAGCCTAAAATGTCCGTGGACTTTGTGCATTTCGAGAATTGCTTTTTCTTGGTGGTAAATTCCGACTTGACCTGTCGTGGGCTTGGACCCTTAACGTTGGATCATTGCCATAGAGACGAGTTGACGGCTGCTGTATCCTTACGGGACTCGGTGCGTTGACAGTTCTGTGCATAGAGTTTCTATTTCTGGTCGAAGCTGACTTGTTTTTTACCGAATCGCCGCAACAAGCTAACACAAATACAGTCAGCATAGTGAAGATGATGATTAGAGGTCCAAGAAGAATGTAAATTGGTATCAGTAGAAATATCCAGCCAGTTCCTTTTCCCTAAGAAATAAGTGTATAGAGAAGTTTGAAAACTGTAAAAAAAAAATTCGAGACTTAAAATTGTATTCATTTAAAATTACCTTGCAACTAAACCAATATTCGGTATTATCCCATTTCCAGCAATTTCCCCAGCATTCCGATGCCTTGTCGTTTATCTTGAAGAGGCAAATTATCCACACAAACGGACCGATGACGAGAAGTATTGGAGCTAAAAGGATCTGAAAACGATGTTATCATTATTCGATGAGCATTTTTTGAATGGTAAATACAAAAATAGTCAAAAACTACCTTCCAACAGAAACCCTTTCCACTGCACATGTACCACGAAACATCTTTATCATATCTCCAACATTTTGAACAGCAGCCTTCTTTTTCGACATTTGATAATGGTGTCGTCGAACTTGCTTGTACCGTTGACGTCACATTTTCTGTCAGGTCATCTTCTTGTGGACTGCATATGCAAATGCTCACAGGATTGCTCAAATCTTCCGATAGTCTATTTTTCGTCGATGTTGGATCGTTTTGTAGTGGTTCATTCGGCGCCATATTTTTGGGCTCTATTTTGTGAGTTATTTGTTCAGTTATTATTTCGTTAATGGACATATTCTCTGAGGCGGCCAATTTCTGTTCTCCACCGTCATCGTCTCCCTTTGGTGGATGTTCGAGGCCATTTTTCCCTATTGCTAAACTTTGCATTGTTACGTCATTTACATCCTTCTGTCGACTTTCCAACGTTTGCTCAGATTCCCCACAAGACAATTGCTTAATTTCCAAATTATATCTATCATCAGGTTCAATAGTTCTGAAAGCCTCACCTTTATCGGGAAATGTAACAGTTTCGTTGACAGATAAACGTTTATCCCGTTGATTTTGTGAATGTGAGTGCACTGAATTGGCGAATGGGTCTTCATTTGTACGGTTTGTTAATATATTAGGTTCCGTGAAAGAACGAAATTGTGTTGGATTATCGTAGGAAACTTCAGATAAGGATGTTTTTGGACGAATTTTGGGAATTATGTCCGCTGGAATTTCTGAAAAAATAGCATTAGTATGGTCCGAATGGTCTGGCTCACAAATTCCAGATTGAGACGACTGGTCATGACTAATTAAGTTGAAATCAGGTTTTAATATTCTTTTCCGGTTTTCATCCATATAATCATGCGATGAGACTTGACTTCGTTCTTTGACTTGTAATAAATAGGAGTTTTGATTTAATTGCATTACTTTGTCACCATCCTGGACATTTTCCACAACATCATTTTTGTACACGGAATTTTGACTTTCTGTTGAGGTTATCGGAGTATTGTATGGCTGAATCAATACAATTGATTGTAGTGAAGATGCACAGTTCTCTTCATTATTTGAAATGTTACTTTTATCGGAAGATGTTTCACTTTTATTATCTTTATCGTTAGTAAATAAAGTTGTTTTAGACCTTGTATTTTCAGAACTATCAAATTCTTTAGATGTCAAAGTGATTACAGAGCACACAGTATTTGGTGGTGTAAATATAGGCGGGGTTTTTACCAAATAGTTCTGTAAAGTGAAAATACTACCTTCATCGGATACCTTTGCTTCTGACCAAGTCGACGATACGGAATAAATTTCATCCGTTTTACTTTGTAGGTTGTTTGAACAAATTGAAACAAAATTAGAGTCTGAACTAGAATCAAATTGAACAATACAATCGCTTGTATTTGATATTGTTTCATCTAATGCTTGTTCTGTATAAAATTCGGATGTACACTCGGTAGACGATGATCCTTGAAGTCCATGCAGAACTGTGTTGAAACTGCTTTCTGTAGTCATTTCACAACTGTCTGCTTTGTTTGAAATAGTGTTGTCCTGGATATGAGTATCGTTTTGACCCTGCTCTGCAATTTGTATGATCTGTGCAATTAGGTTTCCCGGTGCACTTTCGTCAATCCAATTAGCAACTGAATTTTTTCGTCTACCACACGGAGTCAAAAATTTGCCTTTCGCTAAAAGTGACGTGGCATCATTGTCGACAGTAAATTCAGATTCTCTCCCTTGTGCAACAGAAAATATTTCAGGTTGCTTCGTAATTCTGAAGGTATGGTCTTCAATATCTGGTAATATTTTTGGATTTTCCAAGATTATTTTATTCTCGGACGACTTAATTTCAAACATATTCCATGCTTGTCGTGATTCGTTCTTTTCGGTATATTCTTTGATGCCTTTTTGATGATTTTTTGTGGAACTATATAACTTTGATTCATTTTCTACTGAACTTTTGATTGCTAGAGGTTCCAATTTTTTAACACTAAACATGGGGACGTTAATTTTTCTCATGGAGTCTTTCTCATTGGCTGTACAAATGTTTGGTAGCATAGTTTCTGTTTTTGACTTCTGCAGCGTGTCGGTTGAGCTTACTTTAGTTTTAGTTAACATGTTCGTTTTCGATTTCCTCAAAATGCTTTCCTCGATAGACGTTTTCAATTTATCACAGTTATGTTTTTCCGTATTTAACACTTCAGTTGGTCGTTGAAGCTTTTTGGAATTTGTACTATCTTCTATACTATAATTCGAAGAGAAAGTTCCGTATTTGTCAGACTCTGATATTGACTCCTTTTTATGCCTGATGTTATCCGAACCGGTTATGAGGTCGATAACATCCATGTTTTGTCCACTATTGTCACCAATTTGATATGTAGCGTCATCCATGTGTTTTTGAAGCCTAGTCCTTGAATTGGATGATGCTAATGTCAAAGCATCATAACTGTTCTCCGAATCATTGGGTGTGACTGGGTCAGAAGTCATTATGCTTCCAGAATCACTTCTTTTCCCTTCGCGACGTTTTGTTGTTGATTTTACGTCAAACTCTTTAGTTGTTGTCGACATCTGCGGTTTTGCTCCTCTTGGGGATTTAGTATTGCTGTTGAAGGTTCGCATTTTGATTGCAAAAGGATCATCAGAGGCTGGATTCCTAAAAAAAAACAGAATCTGAAGCACCAAATCTTCAGCCGAATAAATATAAAATGGAATACA